GAGCAGGAGACCTTCTACCATTTCAGACAAATGGTTTTCCAGTCTCTTTTTGAAAGCCTCCAGTGATAGATCACCCACAAGTTCTGAAGGCAAGCTATTCCATTGGCGGATTGCTCTCACCATTAGGAATTTTTTTCTCAGTTCTAGGTTGCTTGTCTCCTTGGTTAGTTTCCAATCATTGTTTCTTGTCTTGCCTTTTGGTGCTTTGGAAAATAGTTTGACCCTCTCGTCTTTGTGGGAGCCCTTCAAATGTTGGGACAATGCTATCATGTCACCCCTAGTCCTTCTTTTCATTAAACTACAATAGACATACCCAATTCCTGTAGCTGTTCTTCATATATTTTAGCCTCCAATGCCCTAATTATTTTTGTTGTTCTTCTCTGCACTCTTTCCAGAGCCTCAACATCTTTTTTATATTGTGGTGACCAGAACTAGATGCAGAATTACACGTGGTCTTACAAAGGCCTTAGTAAGACTGATAATAAAGACAGGATTTGACCAAGGCATGGATTGTTGTCAGATCTGACAATCTCACTATAAATAATATATTAACCATAATTGTGTAAATATATTCCTTACTACAGTCCTCATTATGAATCTAGAAACAACTGGGGATCCACCATCACTCCTAACCTCCTAAGCTATAGGTTACCTTTAAAGAAATGCAAGCTATCAAGAACAAGTAAACCTTATTCTTAATTGGGACTCCAGTTCCAGATCATCTCTTTTTATCCAGAATGAATTTTAACTAATTCTCTTTTATACAACCCATTACTGAACTTACACAGTGATTAATGGTGCTGATTGCTTCCTTGAAGTTGGCTGCAAAAGTGGCAGAACTGGCTTTTATCAGCATACTGGTAGCAATCCACACCAAAGCTCTGAAAAATCCTTGCCTTCATATAGCTATTGAACAAGAGAGACAAGATCAAATAAAGTGGGACAAAAATAGGTTAATGGCTTCAATGCTGAATGGTAATCACAGAGCACATTATTTATGGGGATTGGAAAGATCAGAACCACTGTACTTCAACAAAACTCAGCCCTACAGATGGTCCAGAAGGATACCGCCATTATCAAAAGTTACTAACAGATCTGAAAGAATTAGTAGGATGGCACTCTTTCCATCAGCAACCAAGGTGATCACATCAAACTCAGTACCATATCCATTTGAAATTCTATTTCAGTGAGTTCAAATAATCAGCACTATATCATCAAAATGGAAGGCCATCATAAATTTTAACTCATTTACATGCTAATCATATGCTTCTCATTATATACTTTGCAGGCTTGGAGCCTTAGGTTGCATTCTTCAGCACTAACCTACAACTTAGTTTAATCATTTAATAGCTCATTGAATAACCCATAATGATTAAGTCCTCAGCATATTTAGTCATAAATTATGGTCTACAAACTGTAGTAGCTGATTTCAAGCTCAAGCCAAATATACTGCACTATGGCCCCAGTTTGCAATGATAGATAGATGATAGACAGACAGACCGACAGACAGACCGACCGACAGACCGATAGATAGATAGAATGAATCATCTATCTATCTGTCTGCATGCACATACTCAAAATTAATTTACTGGAGGATTCTTTTTTGAGTCTGCAAAATCCTATGTATTTTAAGATCTCATTACTCTATTATTTCCTGGATGTAGGTCCCCTTGAAAGCAACAAAATATCTCTGATTAAATTGTGATTGTATTGTTATTTTAGGCCACAGTTCCGTGAAAGCTACTGAGCAAAAGCATAAGTAATATTTCTCATGCTTGCGGGAAGTTCAGAAATTGCCATTTCAAAATATGCCATTATCTCAATGTTGCAGTCTCAATATACCTTCAATATAGAACAGTCTAGATTTTTTTGCATGTGTGTGTGTATAATATGATTGCACAATTTAATTCATGTTTACTCATTAAAAAAAAATCCTGAATTATATGGGTGCCCCCCCTGGGAGGGCAAATGTCTAAACATGTAAACTAAACAAGTATTATGTGATATTTAATTCAGATTCTATAAGGGTAAAACATAATTCAAAGCCTAACCTTTTAATATAAAGAATAAAGTTTACTAATTACATCCTACATCATCACCTTCACAATAATTATTTAAATCTTAAAATTTAACACACACACACACACCCACACCCCAAGGAGGCAGAGAGATGAATACCTGTACTTGTTTTTCTATTAATGAAAATATTTGAGGATGGCTTTGATTTTATTGCACTGATATTACTGTAAACCTCAATCTAACTTCTGGAAAATCTTTAAAACAGAAGGAGGTCTTATTGAATATCCTTAAAGTGATTAAATGATGGCTTAATATAATCACCCTTAGAAGTTAATCCACAGAGCATTCTCCACAGCAGAGATGATTTACCCATTATTCTCATAAGCCTCATTCTCATTACTGTCCTGAATGTATGTAGTTTTTCTCAAGACATCAGCAATATAAAGAGCTTGCACTGCTGGTTGCTGCAGAAAGAGAAAAAAATAGTATCCCACAGATTTTTCTGAACTCCAAGTCTGACAACTGGCTAGACACTTAGGGCTACTGGGGTTTTTAATTCATAACATCTGGAAAACATCAGGCTGCTTTCTTTTTATATTACAATAGTGCCTCTGAGATAGGGATGAACAATTGTCAATTTGGTTTTTACCATATTTCTCACTTTTATCATTCTGTTCAGTTCTGTTGCCACACCGGTTTATATCTTTTGACACCTCGTCCCCTGACAAAAAAGACCAATGCTTAGATATTTGTGCATATTTTTATACACACACTTCCTAATCTTCCAAGAGTTTGTTATGCATGCAATTATTGCTAGATATGTTTCCATTGCAGCATGTCTTTGGCAGGATCCAAGAATTTTACCTTGCTCTGAAATTAGTATGGACACCTGGACATTTTTCTACTGAAGTATTTGGAAAAAAACGTTTCTTCCTAACTGCCTCTGAGGGTTCTTCACCCAATATAAAAAAACACTGAAAGAGGAAAAGCTAAGGACCCTTTGCCTAGGCCACACCTCAACAGAATTACATTCTTTAATACAGTTCTAGGTGGAGCAGCCTCAGGATAAGAAATCTAGCAACTATTTAAATAAATAACAGCTGCAATCAGGAATAATATTCTAATATGTAAAAACATAACCCGGAGCCTTTTCCATTAGGGTTAGCACAGAGCTATTGTTGTCAAAGGGGGGAGGGATCATAAACAGTTTAAAGGAGGTCTTTATCTGCCTTTCTCATCACACACTTCTAGGATCTTCCAGGATGACTTACAAGAGAAAGGCATCCTTTAAATACCTAGATTCCAAATGGTTTTGACTTTTAAAAGTGATCTCCAGTATATTGAAGGGTTCATTATGTATTTTTCTCCATGAAGCTGAGATTAGGCCAACATTGTTCTTAAACTCCTATCCACTGTGTCTCATGCGTGTATCTTAAATGATTTTGAGTTTACCCAATCCTTGTAAGGATATCTCCTCAGAATAGTTATATGTATCTTCTCCAACTCAGAATAGCGTTATATGTATCTTCTCCAACTCCATATTATCCTGTGACAAATGAAGTAAACATTGGAGCCTAAATCAGTTAGCTTGAAATACATGCTTTCTATTTAGCTTCAAGTCATTTTTGAATGGGTATTTCAGTAATAATCTCTTTAGAGATTGCCTTATTTATCATAAAGGTAAATACTTTCTTTATCTCTTCATTACAAAAACCAAACAGCCCTCAATCTGGAAAAGATTACATAGCTTCTTTGTCCATATTTGTGTATTTCACCAAGATGAGCTGACATATAGCATCCTTAACATAATTAATTTTACCAAATTATTTTTTTTCCTGCTGTAAATTAATTTTTTCTCCAATAAATGATAACAGTCTTCTATAGCAAGAAGCTGGAAAAAGGAAACACTGTGGTATAGTTTCTGGCAGTGAAGCTTGTCATTGATTGGCTAAATTGTTGTGGTTTCAAACATTTTAGCTGCTCAGATAAGAAAACTGCCAGAACCTTTGCAGTCCCAATGCTGTGGAAAGTGGAGCAGGGGACAATTGTCCCTTGCACCACTCAGTGAATAAAATGACACATTCTCTAAGGACACCCGTGATATCCGAACATGAAAAGATAGGGATTAGTATTAGCAGGTAATCTTGTTCTAGTAATGTCGATCTGGCAAAAGGGCAACATAAAATGCAGTGATTTTTATTGTAACGTTTCCCTCCCCCCCCTTTTTTTTCTGATTTAGGAATCAGAAAGAAAAAAGACAATTATTCAGAAATCCGTGTTAATGCAGGGTCTTCATTAGCACGACACAAGGTCACAAGCAGCAGGCAGAATTCTTGATCAGGCTGGGAAGAAAAGAAAGGGGAAAAGAGAATTGGGGGGGGGAAAGTCAGCAATCCTACGTTAAACAAGGGAGACGTGTTTTGGAAAAAGCCTAATTCATAAGAATCCACCTTTTCTTATTTCCCAACCCACTTCAGACCAGGATGCTACGGTAGACCGGGGGGGCGGGAAGGAGGGGGGACGGGAAGAGACCGCGGTGGGCGATCCAGCCTTAGCTGGAATTGGTAAAGGGAGGAAGGGCGATAATGAAAGGAGAGGGGAGGGGGAGGACAGCATCTGAACCGCGATAGCAGAGAACTGATGCGCTTAAGTCAAATGAGAGGTGCGCGGTAAAAACGATTTCGGGGCACCCAAATCGTTTTAAAATGCACGTTCTTGAGCTCGGCCTCTGTCGTCTTGGGAGCCTTCGGGGCTAATTCGCTTAATCTCGCTGCCGTGGCGAAATTAAAAGTCAAGAAAAAGCACTTCGCCCCTTTCACCCGAACCAGAACCAGGGCAAGCCCCGCGACCGTTGCACACGTGCGCGATCCTATTTTTCCCCTCCAGGGGACGGGCCTGAGGAAAAGGGAGCCGCGCAAGGCGGGTGGCTCGGCTGGTGCATTGTTCCAACTTCAGGGTGGGGCTTGTCATTGCAGGCTCTGGGCTGACCCTGCCTGAGAGCAGCTGCAGCTGCAAGCCAAGAGAAAGAGAGAGAGAGGGAATGTGCACGTTGCGCGTGTTAGTGTCAGGGAGGGATGCATGTCGTCGCCTTCTCTGACCCAGGGTGGGCTTCCTTCCGCAAAAGCGCCGCGCTCTCCAGAGGGGCTAGGAGCGGGTCCGGCGGCTAAGCAACGCGGCCTTCGCCGGGACTGACAGCCGCGGTGAAAGCAGCCCCCGCCGGCCGGCCCTCGCTTTTGTCTGCTGGGTAGCGAAGGCGGCAGCAGCGGAGGAGGAGGAAGAAGCCCGGCGACGCTCCTCGCCGCGCGCTCCCTCGCTCGCGGCCGGGCTTTGGTCCCGCCTTTCCCGCTCCAGCAAAACGGCGCCGCGGGCCAGCCCCCTCGCTGGGCTGGCAAGCGCAAAACGGCCGCGCTCGGCCCAGGTGAGTTCTGCTTTGCTCGGCCAGGCGCTTCATGGGAACTGCAGCAGACGGAGAGAGAGAGAGAGAGAGAGAGAGAGGCAAGAGCAGAACAGAGCAGGCCCGGCCTTGCGGCCTGAGCAGGCTTTGTTTCCCGCCGCTTGGGTGGCTTCGCCGGGGCTGGCGGCTGCTGCTCCCTCCTGAGGCTGCGGAGGTAAAACCGTGCTGGGTGGGAGTCTCCTGGGAATGAGGGGGAACAGGCTGCCGCCGCATCTTTACCTAAATCAGGGTGTGGGTGTGTGAATTGTGTGTGTGAGAGAGAATTCATTAAAAAAAAAAATCCCTCCCCCTTCCAGCCATTCTTCCCTTTTCCTACAACCTGGCATTTCTGCCACTGCATGTTTTTTTTTTTTATTATTATTGTGGCGGAGGCTCTTTTCTTCAACGTGGCTTGCCCCCGTCTTTCGGGGGGAGGGCTCTTCCTTAAGCAAGAATTGCATTAAAGACCAGAGCAACAGGTATTTCCTTGTTTGCCTATTGGATGGGTTTTATACAGCTTTATAACGTGGAGTAACGTACACGCACACGGCCGCTGGGTAGGGAAGAGTCAGTGCTGCCGCTTTCTTCTGTTCCTTCTCCTTCTCCCTTTGTGTTGTTGACATTTTGCAACCCCAGCCCTGAGCAAAGAGAGTGAGTGGTTGAAAGCACCAATCTCTCTCTCTCTCTCTCTCTCTCTTTCTCTCTGGACATCTTTCTATTCCAAAGCAATATCATTTCCCTAGTTTTGACCACTTTCTGTGTTATTCCCACAATAAGGTTTCCTAGACTTTAAGCATTTTTTTTAAAAAAAAAACCCGAAACAAAAGGGCTTATGATTCTGAAAAGGAAGAAAACTATTCATTTTTTTTCCTCTGAGTGATTAAAAAAAAAACCTGCATCTTTGACATGACTGCACACGGCTTCACTTGAACACTTTGCCCTGACTTTTTAGCATTACTGACTAGTAAAATTGTAATCTTGCTGTTTCAAATGTATGGTAGCTAAGGTATCGCCAAAGTGATGGGTTCCACAGTCTTGGGTTGGTTCATTGTTTGATACAGTGTTGCCTCTACCTACAGAAAGGTGGCCAGCTGACAGAATCTGCATAATCTATAGATTTTCTTAAAAGCATTTCCAAACCATTGTTTGGGAAATAGAAAGGAGGAGGAGCTACTTTAAAAAAAAAAAAAGGTCTGGAATCTTTCCATGGCAAATAGCAAAAACCAGGTAATGTATTTTTTCTCTGTCTTTATTGCAAAGCACTGTAATTGATTGCAGTTATTTGCACATAAAGAAATTGTGACAGTGTAGATACTCTTTTGTGTAAGTATTATTGTTTGTAGATACTCTCTTGTGCCAGTGTTACAACTGAGCACTGATTTCTTTCTCCCTTTCCTGCCCTTTGATAAAAAAAAATGGCTATAGATAACAATTTCTAGGGATACTTGCCATGTTCTTTCATCACCATGGTGATGTTTTTTTTTTTTGAGCTAAATGTACTTTTCCAGTTTGAATTGGGCATAATCTTTTTTTATTGATCTACTGTCAGAGGAAGAGGGATTATAATTTAAAATGGATGATTTCAGTGGCATCATTTTTTTTAATTAAATTGAATTTTCTTTCCATTCTCCATACCCATCTTCCTGTATCAAATAATATGTGTGGATTCATTGGTATTAAGTGTATATGTTTGAAACAATGCAGGAAATCTTGAAAACTTAAGAATTTCTCTCCCCTCTGTGGCATTAGGCCTTGGTATCTGATTTGTGCGATAACACTTGGTTACAATCTGATGAAAATTTTCAGTAGATTGTGACCTTCTGATGTGTAGAAGCAGTGCTTCATGGAGAAAATTGCTTAATAAAAAATATTTCTGTCAAAAAGCAGAATAACATCAAAGTCTGTTACTCTGTTGAAGATCATTCCTCTTTTTTAATTTTACAGACTGATATTTGAGGTTGAAGTTGTTGAGTTTTTAAAAACAAAATGGGTAGAAAGGCTTTTCTCAAGTAATAAAAATCAAATATTATATATCACTGTTTCTTCTTTACCGATTTATAGAAAGGGGGAGGAGAATGAACAAGGACACATTTGCAACTGGCAGAAGAATGTAGTAGTAGTTGCCCAAGTATAGAAATAGGAGAATTTGGAATTTTATTACAGCACAGTTTAAAAAAAAAACAGTACTTCTGGGCAAGTTATAGAATTATTCAACAATTTGCATTCTTCCAATTTTTCTAGAATCTTAGCAGTATTTTTATTTTTTACACTGATGCAACTTAGCTTCAGTAGACTGTCCTGGCATACCTCTTGGAACTACAAGATTAAGGGTGGAATAAAGAATGAAGTATATCAAATTTAGTTTTGAGGTTTTTTTAAAAAAAATAAATTACTATAACCTGCATTTTAGTGGACAATTTAGGCCTTGGGTACGGAATAGAATATTTATAAAAAGTAGGAAGATCTATAATCTAGGTTGATGACACTTACTCCATTGCTAGTTGATTTATCCTTGACTTCTGACTTCTGTATTTGGCATTGTTCACTTCTATGAAAATACTATAATGAGATCATTAATTTTACATAAAATATTTATATTTAATACTTTCTGTACCTAAAGAATAAGAGCCTGAATTGGCTGATGGTATGGTATATACATTTTTATCAAATCAGTCTTGGGGTACAGAGGGAGTCATATGGGAATTTGGTGTGTTTAAGAGACAGACTCAGAGGTGGGTTTCAGCAAGTTCTGACAAGTTCTGGAGAACCGGTAGCGGAAATTTTGAGTAGTTCGGAGAACCGGTAGTAAAAATTCTGACTGACTGCACCCCCACCCCCATCTATTTTCTGCCTCCTGAGTCCCATCTGATCAGGAGGAAATGGGGATTTTGCCCATTCCCACCTTCCCCTGGAGTGGGGTGGGAATGGAGATTTTACAGTATCCTTCCCCTGCCATGCCCAGCAAGCCATGTCACGCCCAGCAAGCCATGCCCACAGAACCGGTAGTAAAAAAATTTGAAACTCACTACTGGACAGACTCTACCATTGTGTTAATATCTGTTGAGGTCCTCAGTTCGACAGCGTTTGGAGTTGATACTTTATCAAAAAAAGAAGTTTCCTGCATAATGAAGTCTTCCTGGCACAGTATAATATATTTCAAAAGCCACCACTGGTGTTAATGCTCCCTTTTCCTTCCTTTAGAAGCTTATAGTCTGAAAACAATTCAGTTACATACTGAGTCCCTTAGGACTGGCTACTGTATATTGTTCCTGATTAAAACATCCATGTTCTATTTTGAGATTGTTCTATTTGCAACACTGCAACAGATGCAGGCTTAGCTATTAACCAGTACAAATACTACCTCTGTGTAAAACACACTGGGTTATCCTCAATCAAGGTTGAGGGTATAAGACCACATTAAAATCCATGTTCTGCATGTAGCATTGAAATACCACCAAGTGAACATCATTACTCCAAAGTCATTTTTTATTGTGTCTGAACATGACTTGAAGAATGTTTGGATGTGGTGACAAAATAATTGAAACCTATAAGAGCTATTCTTTAATTAAGAGCAAAAGTACAAATTCAGTGAAGTTTAGGACTGATTAGGACAATTATTTTTGCTCAAAATAGGTTAGAGAAGTCTAACCTAGAGATGTGAAAAGAAATGAGAATTTTTAGAAAAAATAATGATGAAATCCAGTAAAGTTGATATAAAAAGAAATATTGCATCTATTTCCATTTTCCCATTTTTTTCCTGAACCTCTCCTTCCAACATTTTCAGTACTGTTACAACTCTAGCCTACCTATTCTGTGTTAAAATCCTCTGCAAAGTTTAATTCTGGTTTACGATTACAGAGTTTATCCATATTGCAAATGGCAACACCATAGCAACACCACATCACTAAGTGGGGGAGAAATTTTAAAAAATATTTCAGCACTCATATACACACACACATATATATATATATAGTATATATGTCTTGCATTGGAATGGGCGGGGGGGGAGGGGGAGAGATATTGGATTCAAGTGTTTTTCGAATTTCCAGTCAGAATCTTGACCACATCAAAATAGGCCATAGCCTGGTTTGGGATAAGTCTGGTTATATCTAGGGATCCAGTCTTGAAATGTGTTGACTACTCTCTGAGAAGCCCCAGAAGTAATGACATATTACAGGGACTTGTTTTAAAGCTCAAATCTGTTATATGACCCTTGTGGATGGCAGTATTCCATATGAAAAAAAAATATTTGGTTCTATTTTTTCTTTTAAATATTCTTTTAATTTCAAAAAGGAAAGCCAATGTATGCTGTAGAAAAAGATTCTTCAAGTAAATCTTCTGAGTTTTATTTGGAATTATGAGCCATTGTGGTACAGTGGTTAGAATGTAGTACTGCAGCCTAATTTGCTGACTGCCAGCAGTTCGATTCTCACCTGGTCAAAATTGACTCAGCCTTCCATCCTTCTGAAGATGTAAAATGAGGACCCAGATTGTTAGGGACAATATGCTAACTCTTTAAACCATTAGAGAAGGCTGTAAAGCATTATGAAGCAATATATAACTCTTAAGTGCTATTGCTATTATGTCTAATTGCCCAGAAAAAAAAATGCAGTAATGAGTTTCAGTCAGGAGGGGACCATTTCTAGTTGGAGAAAATGGTGGGATTCAACTGTACCAGTTGACACTGACCCAAATGAGTGGGGTTTTTTTTTTATTAAACTTCGCCATAATAGCAACCGTTTGTTATGAATGCCTTAGTATGTTTTCAGTTTTCTTTTTGTACACTAGCCCCAAAAGGTAGAGGAATCCTGCTTTAAATATCCACTTTTAAGATCTTTTTCCATTGTCTTATGATCTAGGGTAAATGAGCAACATATTGAATAAATATAGTCTTAAAAAGAAATTGTCGGATTTCTCTACTGATTTTCATTCCTCCTCCTCTAATTCAAAGTTTTGTACCTTCAGCAGAATAAATTCAGTTTGTGATATCTGGTTCTCTTTGCTTTTCCACTATTAAATGTAATGGTATACAGGTAATCTTTAACTTACAACCATAATGAAGCAAAGTCATTGTGGTTGTAAGTTGAGGCACCACATGACTAGACGTGATTTTACAACCATTTTTTTTTAATGGTAATCATAAACTGAGTCACTGCACTGTAAGTGAATCACTTGGTCATTGAGCAAATGCAGCATATCCAATGGGCTTTTTCTGCTGGAAAATAGCAAAACAAATCACAAATCGTGGTTATGTGATTGCGGGTTATATACAACTGGTTGCAAATGCAAGCTGGTTGCCAAGTGCCTGTAATACAGTAATGTGACTGGATTGTGATAGGGTAGCTTTGAGAACGGGTTATAAGTAGTTTTTTTGACGTCTGTACAGTTGTTAAACAACCAGTCACAAATCAAGGGCTACTTGTACTAATGTATTGTATTGTATTGCGGAACATATTCCTATTTTGATTATTTTATTTTGAATTGTATGGTCTGAAAGTAGTAAATGTCTTTCTAAAGAATCTGATAAACTGTCAACAGAAAATTTCAAGTTCTAATTTATATTCACAGGACTTGAAAAGTTGAGTCAGACTTCAAGCCTGTTTTGTTACCGGATTCCTGATGTCTCTAGAAATTGCTACAAACATAGTAAGTAGGCTCATTCAGTTTCTAAATATTTAGCAGGCATAGATATATAATTTATTTTTTCCAGTTGTCAAAATGATTTTATATAGACAAGTCTGTTGATGTAAGTGTTATAGACCATATAATTAATAGCAAAAATGTACTTTGTTTTCCCCAAAATAAGACCCTGTCTTATATTTTTTTGAACCCTGAAATAAGTGCTTAGTCTTATTGCCATGCCCTCAAAAGCCCAATTGGGCTGATTATCAGGGGATGTCTTATTTTGGGGGAAACCGGGTAAGTATGTTTACAGAGGTCAGTTCCTCTACGTTCACTATAATCCTGCAAAACTGAATCTGATATTGTGCTTTTATATCTAATAATGTAAACAATATAATTAATACAATAGCACTAGTATTGTATGTTGCATGCAGTGGGGCAAGTACAGTGAAGGCAGGAGTGTGTTCACGTTGGGGCCTGCAGGAACAGAGCCATTAGCCAGATCTTTAGTCTTTTTAAAGACTTAGGGCTATCGTCTGCCTAAAATAAGCTAGGAAGTTAGTTCCTGAGTGTAGAATTTAGAATCATATAAATTGTGTTTGTGTTATTTTGTGTTATTTTCAGTTTACTTGGAAAACTGATCAATATGAAAAGTATTCTTAAGACAAGAAACTACTAAAATCAAATGAATGAAACTCAGTTAAATGATTTAATAATAACAGGCTTTGAAAAATTGGACTGAAGATTTTTTGAAATCTTATGAAGTTGGAATTGAGATTTTTTTTTGGTTGAAGTCCTATAGGGATAAAATAAATATGGGATGTTGTCTTCTGCTTTTAGGTGAGAAGATGAGCAGCTACGATTCAGAAAAACTGAAGTTTGAAAAATTTTCTGACAAAACTAGAGAGGGAGAAATTGCATTGATTAAGATAAAAAGACATGAAGGTATGATGCAGTTAAACAGATGAGTAATTGCTCAGAGTAATTGGGTGGGGAGAGATGATACCTGAATTTGAAAATATTTTGGATATGGGTAGATAGTAATACTATATAAAACTTGTTACTGGCAGTGAAATCTGACAAAGTGGTTTCTGGTCAAGTTATGACTAACTATTTTGTTTGCTCAAGAATGATGCAATATTATTTCAGAGCTACTTTAAAATGTGGCTGCCACTACTGTGATAATTTCATATTTTTATATTGAGATTGTTTCATATTCTTTTCCTAGTATAATATCTTGGATTGTCATATTGTGTCATTTACTGGGGATTAATGGATTATGAACATTTAAAATTTAAATTGACAATTCTATTATATAAAGAAGTATTATAAGAAATAGGTGTTTCTGTTTAAATAAATCAATGAAATTTCTCTTGAACACTTCAGCTATAAAATAATTCAGGCTCTTCTTTTGTTTGCTTACCGTATCTCCTTTTCCTTCAGCTGTATCACTTAAATATGATTAAATATAATACAATCACTTAATATGAGCCAGCAATGTGTGGCAGCAGCAGCCAAAAATGCTAATACAATCCTTGGTTATATAAACAGAGGCATAGAATCAAAATCACATGAAATATTAGTACCGGTTTATAAAACCTTAGTAAGACTACACCTGGAATACTGCATCCTGTTTTGGTCACCACATTACAAAAAAATGATGAGACTTTGGAAAAAGTGCAGAGAAGACTAGGATTATTAAAGGCCTGAAGACTAAAACATATAAAGAACAGTTGCAGGATTTGGGTTTGGCTAGTCTAGAGAAAAGAAGGACTAGGGGGTGACATGATAGCAGTATTTCAGTATTTGAAGGGCTGCCACAAAGAAAAGAGGGTCAATTTACTTTCCAAAGCACCAGAAAGCAAAACAAGAAACAATGGATGGAAAATGAGGAGAAAAGCAACCTGGAATTAAGGAGAAACTTCCTAACAGTGAGGACAATTAACCAATGATATGCCATGCATTCAGAAGTTGTAGGTGCTTCATCACTGGAGGTTTTTAAGAAGAGACTGGATATTTGTCTGAAATTGTATAGGTCTCCTGCTTGAGCAGAGGATGGGATTAGAAGACTTCCAAGATCCCTTCTAGTTCTATTCTGATTGTTTGTTTGTTTGTTTGATTGATTGATTGATTGTATTTTTCTTCTCTGACCCCTCCCCACCTAGCATTTCCCACCTAGAAACCCAGATATTTATCTTTAAATCCTCTTAAAGGGTGATTCACACACAGGTGTAACTAACTTTGTTTTATTTATCTATGACATCTATATGTTGCTAAATCTTTATCACAAGCTTACAAAATAAAAACATTCAGAATATAATAAAACATTAAAAAATAATATAGTAATAGTGATAATGGTAATGGTAATAGTGATAATACCACATCACAGAAAGTAGTAATCACCACAATCATTCCACAAAGGTTGCTGGAACATCCCAGTCTTTAAAAGCTTATCTGACGCCATCAGTGAGGGGGCCAGGCTGATCTCTACGGGGAATCTGTCCCGTAATGTAGGTGCCAGGATGGAAAAACAGTCCTCTGTGATCAGCCCTATTGCCTCATATAGTCTTTTAAAAACATCTGAATCCCAAGCTATGTAGGACTTCATTCCTCAAAACGAATAGTTTGAATTGCACCCAGAAACCTACTGACAACAACGCAAAGATAGATGTTGAACCAGCTGTTTTTTCCAAGTGGTTTTCAAAGGGAGCAGTTTGAGTGGTGATGAAAGTATGGTTTACTGTGTCAGGATCCTTTTACTCCAGAAAGGACCGCTACTTGTGTCCTAGAAAAGCTAGGCAAAGCCTGTTCTGGTCATGGTCTCTACCTGCCCATCTAGCTGGATTTCTTTGCTTCCCTCAGAAGACAACACAAATTGGTAAAAAACTGCAATGAACAAACCATCTTGCTTGGGTTCAGTTTTAGCCTGGTTAACCAGACTTCAGCAACCTTGGAACCAGAACAAGCACGGAGCTTGAAATAACTGAAATTGCTATAAAGGCTGGGGGATTTATCAACTTGACAGCCAGATTAAGCAGTGTGAAGAGCGATCAAATTGGGCTGCAGGATGACTGGTACACCAGAAGAATACTCAGCTCATCTTGACAGCTCGATTCAACATCCAGGCACTTACACCTTGTCATAAAAACAGTACCCTGGTTGTACAGGTAATCCTTACACAGCAACTGATCTCTTTAGCAGACATTCAGAGTTACAGCAGCATTGAAAAAGTAACTTTACAACTGGTTCTTACATTTTTAGCCATCACAGCATATCTACAATCACGTGATTGGGATTTGTGTGCCTTACATCAAGCAGGAACTTATGACTTACAATATCTCTCAGCCACATAGTCACCCTTTGCGTGCTTCACAGCCAGATTCTAAAAAGCAAAGTCAGTGAAGAAGCTGGCAGTAAAATCATATCACAGTCATGTGATGGCTTGCTTTATGACTGTGCGTGACTTGATTCACACTGCAGCAGAAGTGAGGTAATAAGTCCATTCCAGTCATGTGATATCTTGTTTAACAACTGTGTTGCTTAGTGATGAAATTGCAGGTCCAAATTGTGGTTGTTGAACCAGGGTAACCTATATATAATCTGTCTCATAAAATCAATGCTATTCATTCCTCTGGCCAGTCTTGTGCTAAACAATAAGCCATTTGCATTCTCTACTGGTTGGATTTAGTGGTTGAATCCAGTGAACTAATCATATGCTTTAGTTTGATGTATGAATACTGTCATTATGCAAGCCTAAATCAATTCATTGATTTATAGTAAGATTAAGATAATTAAGATTCGTTCCTTGGAAAGAAGTTAATAATAGGTTGTAGATAAAGAGTATCCTAAAGTTGGAAAATAACTTGAAAATCCATGTTCATGAATTAGTGGTGAAGAGAAATGTCAAAACAACTTGTTTGTGCCAGGAGCTGACTCATAAAATTAAGTTATATGTAGTGTACTTAAACTTATAAAACTAAGTATATTTAGTACATTTACTTCAAAGAGGCTTCTGACACAATTGTTCTTCCACCCACTTAAATTATAATATTAACTAATAATTTCATAAATAATATAAAACTTTTGAGAATTTTTGAGCTACTGTGCTCTTCTCACTTACTCCAGAATTTTCTTTTGTATTATCAAGTGTTTATATGAATAAGTGTACAAAGAAACGGCTTATAGCAAAAAGGTCTGAGGGAAGATGTGGGTGGAAATAATACACCTGGCTGGAAGCCAGAAAGATAGGTTGTAACATCGACCTTTTTTTAATGCTATGTCTTTGTCCTTAAAATTGTACAACTGAGTTATAATTTGAATCAATCCTTTAAGTGGATTGATACACATAACTTTCATGAGTGGATTATTACACTGAAATTATGGTTGTAGGAAATTATATGTGGTACTCATCTGTTTCACAACAGACTGCCTGCTGAAATGCCCTTGTCCCAGATTATCATTTTATATGACTTCGGTGGCATTCCTTTACTGTCCTGTTTCCTTTTCTTTTGCCCTTGTGTAAACTTTTTTTTTATGATGAATATATTTATCTTGTACAAGACTACAAATTTAACTGTTCAGTATAAAGCTAAATCAATGTGTATTTCAAGATTTTTTTTGTCAGGACTTTATTTTGAAAATGGTGCACTGATGGAAGTAATGTTTAGTTTGAGTTTTCATATTTCTGGAATAAAAAGAGCATTAGGAAGGAGTCTTAGAGAATTCTTTATTTCTTTGTCTATGTTTGGCAACATTTACTACAACACAAACATCTGTGGTTTTTAAAAGCATAGGCCTTAAAATTATTGTTGTTAATTGCGAAGTCGTGACCGACCCATCTCAACTCCATGGACAACTTTCCTCCAGGCCTTCCTATCCTCTACCGTTCCCTGGAGATCATTTAAGCTCACTCCGACTGCTTTAGTGACTCCATCCAGTCACCTCATTCTCTGCCATCCCCTTCTTCTTTTGCCCTCAATTGTTCCCAGCATTATACACTTCATTAAGAATGCCAGATGAGAAACATATAAATGATAAATGTATAAATTCATTTTCATAGATGATAAATGAATATATTTTAAAATCAGCAAAGGAAGTGGATGCAGTACAACTACATCCAGTCTTTAAATATTTTTTTTTAAATAATGAACTTCTTTGGAAATGCATATACTGTGTTTCCCCGAAAATAAGACCCTGTCTTATATTTTTTTGAACCCTGAAATAAGTGCTAGGCCTTATTGCCATGCACTCAAAAGCCCATATATCAACACATTTACATTACATTTGTCTCAACCTACAAAAGTATCTTTGAATTCAGAGGCATTTGCTTCTTAGGAGACAGGCATATAATTGTTGTTTTTGCAATACTCATTTCCACCTAAGTAATTATTTCAAATCTAATGGAAAAAGTTTTTAAAAATAGTTCTGGGGTGTAACATCTGATATTTATAAGCATAATGTATTAATGATACAGTTCTGCAATTTTGCTAATTAAGTCATACAATAATTATAACTTGCCAGTTTCACCTGGAAAAAGAGTATGGCCTGTTTTCTTGGGAAAAGAAAAGTAATTAATTCATTTTTAAAATAGATTTCTCCACTTTATATATCTCTTAATGCTTTCAAGGAAAAATAGGGCTAATACTCTATTTGAATTGAAATTCTAGTGTCCAGTTATCTTAAAATAAAATAAAAATAAAAGTACATTTATTTGATCTTTTTTTAAAAGATAGAAAAGATGCAGACTGCAATGATCTATTTATGATGTACCTTTAAAGCTACCGCATTAAAAAAAGTCATTCAACATTTTTTATTCAGAACTTGGGAAGATTTTATGTTAATGGTGAAGTTGTAACAAGAATTTTGATGAGAAAAGTGTCTGTGTATAAAAACAAGTTCTGGTTTTTGTACAAATAATAAATAAGATGCAGTTGAAAACAGTAGGTGGATTTGTAAAATTAAAATGGCCTGAGGAATCTCAGTTTTTGAATATAGGAAATGTATTTCTGAAAAGCTTCTGGCAATCAAAATAATTGAATGTATTTTCTAGAATAGTTTATATTGTAAAGATAAAATTGATAGTGATACAATAATGCATTTCCTTTACATGGGGTAGATTAAGGAAATGTGCCAGTGTTTGATAAAATTGCTTTTTTAATACAGAAAAAAAGATAATGCTCAAACAGATGTTACTCAGCCAGGCATGGTATCCAGGCGTCTTTAACTTAAATTCTTCAGTTGTTACTTTTATAATTATATGGGAGGCATTCTCTATTAAATTTCAATATTTGTTTCATGGATATGAATAGTTTTCAAGAATGTTGAAAGTTTGTTCTAGTAATCATAGCACCTTTTAGCCTTCATTTTATTAGTGTATTTATTCCTTATGAAAAGTGCATTGTATTCTAATGAAAAACTTATAATTCTCTTTCAAAGACCTTAGTACCCGTTCTGCTAAGCACGCATAATCAGACATTCAAAGAAAATTGGTAATTGCTTATGAACTGGAGGAAGGGTATTTTTTTATTCTGTGGGCAGAAATACCTGCTTTTCTTATCTTAATTCTCTAAAAGAGAAATGGATTCTAAAGTCCTAAGCAATGAAAAATGGATGAGGAAAATATTTTAGGTGTGTTGGGGTTGAACATGTTATTTGTGCCTTATATGCTTCACTATTCTTGTTTGAAGTTAACATTTCACTGCTCTAAAATATATTTAATATAAAATACAAACATAAAATAAAATAAAAAATAAAAGCTGAGAAGTTTCCAGTTCTCTTAATTAAGATTTATTAGGCTGGATCAGGATTAGTCTGAATCAAATCAGGCTTTGTATGAAAATTCTACATATCTAAAAGTTTTGAATTTGATTAATAAGTAAAATGCAAACCAAATAAGGTGATTATTTGAACCCTATATATGAAAAAATAATAGTTAACATTACAAACATTGCAATTTTGACATTTGTTATATATGTACAAATTAAATAATGGAAATGATTTTATGGATTGATGGATCTGTTCTTAGGAACGAAGAAAAAATGCTATATTTGCAGACTTCCCTTTTTCTATCTGTATCAAAACTACAAGAACAAATAAAGTTGTATGTACTTAAATATTGGTGTTTGAAGGTCTTTTTGCTTCCATGTATATCAATCAGTGAGGACTACAGGATGCAATTTACATGCTAATATAAGAGAAATAAATAAAAATGATAAGGAATGAGGGGTGCTCTCTGAGCTTGCTTGTTTTCTTGCAGACGTTTCATTATCCTAACAAGGTACCATCATCAATACTCCTATTTCAACTCTGAGCTACAAATATTCCCCTTTATGGTTAGGAATGTTTGTGAATCAGAAAATGAGTAGGTGTGGATTTTCATAATCTCAAGCAGCCACATTGTGCCTCATTAGTGGAACATTCCAGATAGGTCTTGATTTGGCCTCATTATAATCTGGAACATCTTGGTGGTTCTAAGTTTCAGCCATGAGAAATTACAAAGGGATCTTAGAGGATGAGTAGGCCTGGCTTGTGTACCTTGTCCCTCTCCCATCTTCCTATACGTAAAGAGTGAATCAGTAAAGAAAGCCAGTTTGGTCTAGTGGTTAAGGAACCAGGCTAGAAACCAAGAGATTGTGACGGGTATGAAAGCCAGCTGGGTGACTTCGGGCCAGTCTCTCAGCCCAACTCACCTCACAGGATTGTTGTTCGGAAAATAGGTTGAAGAAGGAATATAAGCTATATTCATTCCCTTGAGTTCTTTTATTCAAGAGTTTATATAAAAATAATAATGGGATATAAAATAATAAATGTGCTGATTTTTCCATCATCCTCATTTTGCTGTTTTCCCTCAGCTCTGTTTACCTGCCATCTCAGCCCCTGAATTCAAGTGCAACATAACCAATCTACCTACCCTGGCCTAAACTTCCTAGCACCTTTCTTTTCTCCCCACTTTCTCTTAACTACAGTTGTATGTCATCATTAGTGATGGCCTTTTCTCCAGTCCTTACTTTACAGTACTTCAGCCTGTATCACATTTGTTTCATGTCTGTGCCTGGATCAACTATGCAGATTTTGGACTGGGTATAGATCACATGAATGCACAGAATGTTCTGCAGATACTGGAAAGATTCTGATTTTTTTAAAAAAATTAAAATTCTGAGCCAAGTAGTGTTTAAGAAAGAGATTGAAATGATGTCTGATAATGTTGACAATTTTTTTTATTGTGCTTGTGGATTATTTGTAAAAATTCAGTAATTAAAATTTTTATTGTAAAAAATTAAAACTGGCAATCCAGGAAAAAGTAGAAAGGATGACATGTACAGTTGAATAAAAAAAGACAAGTATTAAATGAATTAAAATGTAAAAAGATCTTTTACAGTTTACCGGGGACTTTAGGAAAGAAAAGTAGAATGTGACCACTATTAATGGGTTTAATACCATGAAACATTCTTCATTTGTAACAAGAGCTCATGGGTATAAGCTACCTACATGGACAAATTTAGCATAATTACATATAATATTTTTTTTTTCTTGGCTGTGGTTTCCAATATTATGTTGTTGCATTTTCAGATCTCTGAAAGTTAAGAGAAGATAGGATGGATGCTACCGTAATACTGTCTATTCTGAAGAAAAAATTAGCTTTCCTCTCAGGTACAGTTTTGTCCTTTTCATTTTTACGTATTATAAGAAAAACAGTGTTTTAAAACACTTTTTTGCTTTCACTGTTTTCTGATATGTGGCCTCAATATTCGGTAGAAATTTTTCTGATGTTGTATATTTTATATTACCTTCAATCTCTATCTTGTTCATGGGGAAATAATGATTATTAGTTTTCTGTAGATAATAGATGAAATTATATTTCTATTTTGCTATATTAAGTTTCTCTCTTTATTCTATGTTTATTTTTATTTTTAATTTTAATTTTAAAATGTTATATTAATAGGAGTTCAAATAACTGACATGCATAGTTATGTTTAAAATATAGGGAATTCAAAACAGTGTTGATTGAGATGTTGATCAGGCTGAGAGCTCTTTCAGATTAAGCTACTAAGATATTTTCTCTTAGGATGTATTTGGATGTTTTAATTTTAAATGCTACAAGTAGTGTTAAATACTAGATTAGCTTTATATTTTTTAAAATTGATGTTGGAGTGTTGGCTGGATGCCTAGATCACCCTCTGACATATTGTAGAGAAAAAGTATTCCTGTTAAGCAGGTTTTATTTGGTAATAGAAGTATTGTTTACTCCTATAATTTCAACTGAGAGCCCACATTTTTCCCTTCCTTAGAACTCTATAAAATGAGAACCATAATGACTATTTATTATATTGTAATAACGCCAATCCTTGAGATTTATCTTCATATAATATAAGGTAATAACTTGATTAGTTCATGACTAAATCAGCATTGCTTAAAAATGGTTTCTTAAGTAATAATAACTTTTTATATTTGTGTTGCCTCATTTATTGCTGCTTATAGATGCCTCAATGGAAAAGTTACAAACTTTAGGACATTAAGGTTTATTTTTTATTTTTTACTTAAAAGCCTATTTGTACTAATATAAATACAGGTAGTCCTTGATTTACGACCATAATTGAGCCAAAATTTACGTTGCTAAGTGACAAATTTGTTAAGTGAATTTTGCCCCATTTTACGATCTTTCTTGCCACAGTTGTTAAGTGAATCACTGCAGTTGTTAAGTTAGTAACACGGTTGTTAAATGAAATCTGGCTTCCTCAATGACTTTGCTTGTCAGAAGGTCGTAAAAGGGGATCACATGATTCCAGGACACTGCAGAGGTCATAAATATGAGTTAGTTGCCATGTGTTTGAATTTTGATCACATGACCATGCAGATACTGCAAGGGTCATAAGTATGAAGAATGGTTGTAAGTCACTTTTTTCAGTGCCATTCTATCTTTGAACAGTCACTAAACAAACTGTTGTAAGTTGAGGACTACCTATAGTTCTTTTTAGCAATATAATTGGTAGATAAGAATATATTTGAGAGATGCCAAAAGTTTGAGAGATTCTTGAGTTACAAGTTGCTAGCATAAATCTCAAATAACAAAAAATGGTCTTGAATTTATAGATGCATAATGGATCATAAATAGTTGTAATATTCTTGCTTGCTTAATGATTATTAAAATATCAGATGCACATTACATGCTTTACCCCTCCTATCTCTCTCAACCGTGCATGAATTCCACCCAGCCACCTCAAACAGAGAAGATAGTGTAATTCAGGGGTGAAATCCAGCAGGTTCTGACAGGTTCTGGAGAACCGGTAGCGGAAATTTTGAGCAGTTCGGAGAACTGGTAGCGGAAATTTTGAGTAGTTCGGAGAACTGGCAAATACCACCTCTGGCTGGCCCCAGAGTGGGGTGGGAATGGAGATTTTGCAGTATCCTTCCCCTGCCACACCCACCAAGCCACACCACGTCCACCAAGCCATGCCCACAGAACCGGTAGTAAAAAAAATTGGATTTCACCACTGGTGTAATTGTTGGCTTCCAATCTTTCATTTAGGGCATTGATGGTATTAAAGTAGAGCAATGTTCATCCTAAGTGAAAAGGCAAACAAAAATAGCTTTGCTAAGTAACTGCTTAAAATTTTAAGCATCATCTCTAGCTGAATATACTTAAGAGATAAATGTTACTTATTGCAAAGGAACTTGGAACCAAAGGAAATGTTTAGAATTGGTATAGAAGTTATTAATTATTTTATTTTTAGAAACAAAAAGCATATTGCTTTGGTCTCTGAAAATCATTTTGAAGATTTATTAAGTCGGAATTTTGTCTCTGTGTGTATGTATCTGTCTTTCTTTAATTTTCCCCAGTTCTTTTTACTGGAAGACTAGTTTTTATACTACATGGAAAAACTATAGTTAGAATAGTCAAATAGAAACAAATTATGACACTTCCCATAATATCAGCTGTGAATGGCCAGGAACTATTCAAGAAAATAATTTTACATAGTGGTGGTCTTAATTATACATATCTTCATTTCACCCATTCTTCTGTTTTCTTGGCCAAGATGTGCCTTTGTAAACCAAAGCCTTTGTAAACATATATAACGCACACAGTTTATGACTTGGGTAAACAAGCTGCATAACTCTGTATAACATGATAGCGGGCTGTTTGCACACATGTGAAAAAGTGGCTACCATTCTCTAAAATCTGCCTGCCTCATTCATGTATGTGGGAAAAGGTTAGTTTTTGTGCATGTGCAAAGCCAGTTGCCATGCAAAAATTGATGATTTGAGTACCAATGCATTGGTTGTTTGCCAATGGATTGTCTTTATATTCCCCCCTCCATCCAACATCTCTTAGCAGCTTATATGAAATACAATAAAGCAAAAAAAGGGGGATGGTTAAAATATTAATAAAATAACAGCCATAAAAGCCAAAATTAGGAAAAACCAAGGAGGGATTGGAATAAGAATTGAGGATGAATTCATTTGTGAATCAGTAACAAAATCAGTGTTTGAGTGTGGGTAACTGGATGGATGACATCTTAGATGACATATTTTAAAGGTTTTGAGAATGGGATTTTTCTCATTATTGAAGCAATCTGTGCCTGTTAGTGACAAGTTTACATCTCAAAAGAAAGCAGAACTTTGAGGATTCTTACATTATTTTTTTCTGTTCCTGCAGAAAAGTATAGAAATAGCCTGTTAGATTTGCAATTAGAGCCTTGGCAAAAGTTGTATATCAAAGCTACTATATTGTCTTTCAAGGAACGTATCTGATGTTTTTATGCTAATAAGGATATTCTGTCCCCTTCTTTGTTACCTTACATCTTTATCAGCTATAAAGTAATTATTTCCCAGTTGAGGTCTTGCACTAATGTATATACATGTTCCAACTGTCTTTGAACAAGATTCTCTATATAATTAATGCAACACTGTAAGCTTTACTCTTAGATCTTTTGGGTGCAAGAAATTAGGAATTTGTTGTAACTTACACGTTTAACATCTTCCTGAAAATTAATAAGCTGTGGACTAGCTTGATTTCTAAGAGACTTATTCCAGAGCACAGAAAAAGCAACAGTGTTTGGCTTCAATTCTCTTCCATCCTCTTAAATGTGGGATAATGACTTTCTCCCTAAATGATCTAGTAGGTTGAGTTGATTCTGGTTAATTCATCACCTTCATCTTCTTCATTCCTACTATGAGCAGTCATCTTCATTGATGGGAGATGATTGCCCACCATATTTTCCTACTATGAAACCTTTCACTTTTAAATTATGCCTTCAGATTCTATTATTTTGATGAATTTATCATTCTTCCTATCCAACATATGTACTACACATATTTTGAAGTACAGTTCAAAACAGAAATCAATGCTGTGAATAGGAAATAAAGAGCAATGCTGTCGATTTGGTGATTATAAAGAGTTTAACTCACACATGAGGGTGGCATTTATTTGGAATATATAATATGTTGCTTGGTTTTCTCTGTACCTTAACCGATACTCCTTTTCTTTATGCATGCCATTGTGTGCAATCTTTGTAAGCCCTCTTTATCTGCTGCAATCTTCTGCAGCATATCCATATGTTCCAGGAATCCTCCAGCCCCCGAGAAACAGCTTTTTAGATGTTTACATGGACTGCAATGGGAATGGGGATTTAGAAAGGCATCAAATGCCCATCAATTAGCTATTGCCATATGCACAGAAAAGCTTTCTTGAGAAGTGTAACATCTCCACTGAAATGAAAGGAAGGGTAATCAGTTATTTGTTATTTGTATCAAGCATTCATTATTCAAGATCCTCTTTTTTTCCCTTCCTTTTCAGGACCATGTTTTACCTTTTTTCACATTTTTTTTGGTCATCTTGCTTATAGGACAATAAATTCTAAAAAGTGCTGTCTCCCCTTCAACAGAATCAGTTACTTTTTTACTTTTTCAATCCTTTTTAATTTTTAAACTCTTGTATAAACAACAATAGCAAGAAAACCTTAAAGTGACAGTGAAATGTTCTATTATTGAACACATGGAAACCAGCCCTATTTGAAAGGAATACAATAAAAGGAAGGAAAGTACCATTTCCTTAAATGTGCTTAGTGATTTCAAATTACAGAATAAATATTCTTTTGAGCAAAGCTGAGTCATTTCATCTTCCTCCACCTGCAGTTTAGAATTGGCTGAATTCCTATTTCTTGAGAGAAGAGGTAAGGTAAAATAAGAAAGTTGGAAGGTCTTCTAGTCCAACCCTCTGCTCAAACAGGAAACCCTCTACGATTTCAGACGAGTGGTTGTCCAGTCCCTTCTTAAAAGCCTTCAGTGATGGAGCAATCACAACTTGTAGAGACAAGTCGTTCCACTGATTAATTGTTCTGTCCGGAAATTTCTCCTTAGTTCTAGGTTGGTTCTCTCCTTGATGAGGATTTTGAGGAGGGTGAGGCCTGCAAGTTCTTTGCAGTTTCAGATATAAAGATGTAGAAACTTAAGCAGGAGAATTTAGATTAACTAGGTATGCTTTATTAAAGTTTTGGGACAATTAATATAATACAAAAGAAGAAATATTTATTCCTTTCTTGCTTGGGTAGTAAAATTATCTTCACCTGGTGAAGGAAAATTATAGAGAAATCAATATAGGTAGTCCTCGACTTATGACCACAATTGGGACCAGAATTTCCACTGCAGAAAAAGGAAGTTATTTAGTGAGTTATGCCCAATTTTACAACCTTTTTGCCACAGTTGTTTAAGCAAATTCCAAAGGGGCACCAGCTCTTTGGAATGAGCTGCCCCTAGAGCTTCGTCTTAGCCCCAACCTGCATACTTTTCGCCGCGCCCTTAAGATCCTTCTGTTTCAGCAAGCCGGACTGGCCTTATATGAATTTTAAATGGGCGTATGTGTGTTTTAATTTGAGGGCCAAATTTTATATATTTGATTTTAATTGGTTTTAAATTTTATAAATTTATGTGTTTTAATATGGCTGTACACCGCCGAGTCCCCTGGGAGAAGGGCGGTATAGAAATCTAATAAACTTTCAAACTTTCAAATCAATTCAGTTAAATGAATCCAGCTGCCCTCAATGATTTTGCTTGTTGGAAGCTGGCTGGGAAGATCACATATGGTGATTACATGATTCTGGGATGCTACAACTGTCATAAATACATGCTGTTTGCCAAGGTCCCAAATTTTGATCACATGACTATAGGGATGTTGTGACAGTTGTAAGTGTGAGGCTGGTTGCAAGTCTCCTTTTTCAGTGCCATCATAACCCTGAATGGTCACTAAATGAATGGTTGAGCGACGAGGATTACCTGTGTTACTATTTATATGTGAAATTGTTCCCATCTATTTATTCACAATAAATAATATATACCATCTTATAGGAGGGCTGTGGGAGGATCCTAGGTAGAGGCAGATTTTTCTCTCTCTAGGCACAATGAGAATGTATCTGCTGAACAAAACACTGCATTGGCGACAGGAAGTCCATCCAGCCATTAATACACTCTGCTGGCTCCATTCAGTTGCCCAGACTACCCCCCGCAAGAGATTATGGGGTCGCTAAATGATGATGATAGCGGATGACTTTAAGTATTAGGGAATAAATTTTCTTTATTATGGGTCTCAAAACTTTATCACATGTATGCAGCCCTCCAAATAATTTTCTACCACCACAGCAAAAATTTTTTAAAGCGTATGGCACGTGTTAGCAGGCGTCACCGGGGTTGCTGGCTGCCTTTGTGAAAGGAATTTTTTTGGGCGGTGTTACCTTTTACCCGCAGGACGCCTGAATGCCGGTAGGCAATCGAGGGAGGCTCTTTTCTTGTCCCTACGCAGTTTATGGGAATCGAGCCGCTGTGTGCAGGCCCAGCGTCTTACTGCGTGAGCCACTGCGGCTCCCTACCACAGCAATATTTTATAGTCAAGGATTTTGTCAAGGAAAGTCAGGATATTGAATACCACAAAGATATCTAGACTGGACCATAGGAAGCACTCTAAGAAGAACAATTCAGTGGTAGCAGCCTTACAACTCATCCCAGCCTGACCTAATAGATTTTCGAACAGCTGTAAGATTTGGCAGCATCACTTTCCCAGAACCCTTATTTGCTCTTCAATTTCAGAGTGGGTGAGTGGTACTTCGGAAGCAAACCTGGTCCCTTCTACAGGGAGATGAGGTTGGCTTCCCTAATGGATATGAGAAGACCTCATCTGAGGCCCAGTTCTGGTAGTTCCAGCGCAAGTCTCTTTTCCAGACAAGGAAAGAGAAGAAAAAGGAAAAATACAAGGAAATAAAGATCTGCTCCTTAAGTAGACAGAAGGGAAAAAAATGACGATTTGAAGAGCTCTTGGTTCAAGGATGGGATTTTTGATTAAGTCATCCCAGTTATGATCTTGACAAAGTACCTATGTGAAAAGGCCTTGTCTTGTGTCTTTTTCAGAATTAAAAAAATTATAAATTTATGTTTAAAGGCATAATGTGATATTCTTCATTTTCAACTCATACAAGAGACTTCTGTATCAACATACAAAAGAGCTTCAATGTTGCAGCCTTTGGGTTAATGAATTAGGCTTTATGTGGCACTCATGACATTTTGAGTTTGAGACCTCTGTGCTCATGGAAGGTTAACATGTTGTAAGCACTTAAGAGTTCACCTTTATTAAATGTTAGAATTTATATAATAGAACTGAGGGTAGAAGTGATTTTTCACTAGATCCCTCAAATGGATTATTTCTAGATGTGTCAAAATGGATGCCTACAAAGGATATGCATGGAGTGCTTTTTTGCTTCTGTGCAATAATTATTATTGATCATTTAGTGAACTATATTAATAAAATCAGAACTGTGAGGAAAATCGTAACGGTAGAAATATGTTGTTGGGTTTCAGTTGTTTGGGGTTATATCTATCTACTTTGAAATTCACAGAATCTCCTTTATGAGCTTTAAAAAAATTCTATGTACTTATACCTGTTTCAGCATATCCTTTAAAATCTATGAAGAAGTCATTAGATTGAATAAATTATGCCGAAACATATTTGAAAAGAACATTCTCGTCTCACAATCCTGAAGCTGTATGTAGGAGTTATAATCTGATTCTCTTGCCGATTTATGATGTATCCAGTCATGGATGAACTTTTTATTTTTACTCCTAACTACAGTGATCTGCTTTCTTTAACTGAACAAATTTATTGGGATATAAAATTTCATGGGCCATAGTTCACTTCATAAAGTCAAATGTTGGGCCACAAAAGTTTATGTAATGATAAAAGTATTCATAATTAAGATATTACAAGACTCTCTGTTGCAAGTGTAGCATAGTTGTTGTAGAACGCACTGATATTGTGTGCTGTGTTTGTTTAGACTTTCATCTGTACTTTGTTCATTACTGCATGCTGATTATTGCATTAATGAGAACACAGCGTATTCCAAGGAAGATTTTAAATCTTCAGGGAACTCTGGCAGTCCAAGGGACTTTGCAGCTTTCAGGACAAAGGAATTGTGGAACTCCCTGAGTTTGACCTGCCAAAACTTCCTAAGCCGAAAAAGCTGTATCTCTTTCTCTTCGTTGCCCCACCCATCACTTTATTTTTGTTTTAATCTTTCCAGTTTCTCATGAGACCCAAAGCTTTTTGCCTCCTGTCAGGCACAGACTTTTTAAATGCAAGCAGCATTTGTTTCTGTTTCAGCATTGGACTTCTAAATCATGTGCTAATAGCTTAAGTCACTGAGATTCTTTATAATTTCTACTTATTACTTATGTATAACATTGATGATTAATCTTTTAGTCAGTCAAACCATGTTTCTTATAATAACAACAATTTAAATACAGCATAATTTGAAACATGAGGTGGTTTTGATACATACAGACACATAGCATGTCTGATCTTTTGTAATTTATTAGTATTATATTAGGTTGGCTTCAGTGTTCTTAGATACATCCAATTCTTTCTGTTTATGAAGCTCCAGTGTCTCCTAAATGTGCTTTAGGTAATGTAACCTTTATGGATGATGCAGAGATTAAGAGAGAAATGAAACTCAGGTCTCTTGAATGGAAATCAATTCCTGCCTATAATTAATGAGCAGAAATAGAAAACACACAATTTCAGTGCAGTGCTTCAATAGTACCATTCAGTTTTGAAAATATACATTGAGTTCCAAATATATTAGGCAATAGTGAACCACTATTAATTGAGGGTTGACTCAGCCTTCCATCCTTTCTAAGGTAGGTGAAATGAGGACCCAGTTTGTGGGGGCAATAAGGTGACTTTGTATAAAATATACAAAAGAATGAAGGCTATTGCTTAACACATTGTAAGCCGCCCTGAGTCTCCGGAGAAGGGTGGCATATAAATCAAATTTTTTAAAAAATGTTTTTTTTAACCATTTTGTCTATATTTTTGTAGGTGGGAAAGACAGAAGAAGTGGCCTCATTCTGACAATTCCATTATGCCTTGAACAAACAAATATGGATGAATTGAGTGTCACCTTGGACTATCTGCTAAGTATTCCAAGGTGATTTTTTAAAAGACTTATTTAGTGACATGGTGTTACCTTCAGCAGTCATTCTATCAGTCTTGGATATTTTCACTTAATTTTCATTTCTTACATGACAATTTTTTTCCAAGATGTATGGTTGACACTGTCTGTCTTACATTCAGAACCTCTCACCATCTTTGTAGCCTTCACTTATTTTTTCACTCTTATCTTATAAACAATCAAATTAGTGATTTGTTAGATTTATATTCATTCCCTTTAATACACACACACACACACACACCTACCTACCTACCTTTGAATAGACTTGAATGTAAACTATTTGAAACAAACAACTTTTTCTAGGCAGATGCCAGTCACCCTTTCATTCATACTTTTAACTAAATTGTGCAGTCATTGTATATTTTAAATTCAAAAAATAAATTAACTTATTTTCTCTTTCCTTCTCTCATTCCCATTCATCCATTACCATACCTAATAGAGTAACATCTTCTTCTAGATTGCATTCATTTAGATTGTTTCAGTTTTTCTCAAAGCTCCAGCCCATTTCTCTCATTGTGACCATTTATCACAACTTTACATGTATGTATCACCAGTGTATAAAGTTCTGCTTTAATATATAGCCTCAACAGTATAGATGACTAAACTCAGACTTGTTAATTAAAACTATGCCTTAGCTTCCATATAGTTATCTAATCCTATCCATAAGATCAGATCACTTTCATTCACATCATTTATATCCCATTCCTTTTAACAAATACATAATACATTATTTTTTATTATTATTATTGCAGACATCATTCGATGTCTTCATAGATATTGGTGTCCACTGTACATTATGACTATTGAATCAAAGTTTTCATGTAACATTGTTTATATCAGAAAAGAAAAGAGCAGACTAGTTTTTCAACTTTTGTTGAGTCTGATGTACCATTCTTGCTAAAGATGGGAACAGTGCTAGTCAATATAGGCATGATTTAGCTAAATTTACACACGTTGCCAAAAACACAAAGAAATCTCATTTTCTCATCAAATGTGCTGAAACTATTGTATGCAGGTTAAGATATCTAAAAGTATTTTGCAAGTAAAGTTACTGTTACCCATATACCAGCAACTAGGAGATACATTCAGTTATGTTTTAATTTTGTTGATATTTAATTATTTTTCAAAACAGTGTCAGGTTAAGATTTTAAATAGTATGGGGAGGAAATGTGAAGTATGAATTGTGTGTTTATTCCCTCTTGCAGATTGTCACATACACTGTGTAGACAGTTTTATGTTTAAGTAGTTGATACGCATATAGCAGCCAACTTCTGCATACACAAATGACATCTTCCAGCTTGCACTTAACTAGGGCACTTGGTCCGGCAACGTTGTTTTCTCTGCTTTGTTTCTGTAAAGTTGCCTTGATCTATTCTCAGCCCATTAATGAGACAGTACTTCAGTAGTTGGCTGTCCTTCAGCCAGTTCTGTCTCAAGGCAGTACAGTTTTAATAAAACTGGGGATAACTCTAATTTTTGTTCTTCGTTAGAATTAATAAAATTTATTTATTTATTTATTTATTATATTTCTATACCGCCTTTTTCCCGTAGGACTCAAGGCGGTGTACAGTCAAGAAAAATATAGATACACAAACATCATAAAATTGCTAATTAAAATTATTATTATAACATAATTTGGCCCAATTAAATAGAACCTAAAATTAGATAACATTTTAAAAACATTCATATGTTCATATGTTTAGCCCCGCTTGTTGGAACATCAGGGTTTTGAGGGCATGGTGGAAAGCACGGAGATCAGGAATATTTCATATCTCGGGGCAGTTCATTCCAAACGGTTGGAGCCCTCACAGAGAAGGCCCTCCCCCTGGGAGTCGCCAGTCGGCATAATTTGACTGACGGTACCCTGAGTAGTCCCTCCCTGTGAGAACGAACTGGTCGGTGGGAGGCTACTGGTGGCAAAAGACGGTCTCGTAGGTATCCAGGTCCTAAGCCATGGAGCGCTTTAAAGGTGATAACTAACACCTTGAATCGCACCCGGAAGACCACCAGGAGCCAGTGCAGCTCGCGTAGGAGAGGTGTTACATGTGTTAAAAGGTGTTAAAATTAACAAAGAGGTGGGGGAAAAAACAGATTTTGGATCAAGTGACTTTTCCCTCTGAAAATTCTTACACTATTTTTTATGAAAGCACATTAAAAAACAAAGACACGAGAAATTGGTGTCTTCCCTTTGTAGTTTGGCATAGGGAAGTAATAAATGCGGTGGAGTGTATCAAACATTTTTAAAGCAGCAGCTTAAATATATGAGATAACACAAGACATTGCACACACATATGCCTATATATATATTTATTTTTTATAGTGAAAAGTGTAAAGCCAGAGGATTTACTGTTATAGTGGATGGTAGAAAATCTCAATGGAATGTTGTAAAGACCGTGGTGTTAATGCTACAGGTAAGACTTACTTTATATGAATCTTAGCAAAGAATTTAATTTTCTGAAGTTCTTCAATATCTGACAAGGTTCACACAAAATGATAAACAGTAATGCGGCTGGGCTTTGATTTAATAAAATAAGCAGACTGATGCATTACATTATTCTCAATAAATCATGGTTTGAAACTTTCAGTATAGTTATATATTCTCAATTGCTTTAAACATAGTTTGCTTTATATCTTTGATGTAAATGCAGATTATATGGTAGACTGCAGGTTGCAGACTTCGAACATGCAGTCTGCATCTGAATCTTCATAACATATGCAGAGAATCAGATACCCTAGCTGCTCTCTGCAGGAAATACAGGTGGTCCTCACTTAATGATTGGATGCTTAGTGACTGTTCAAAGTTATGACAGACACCCCCCCCCCCCGGATACTTTTTTGGTTGCTCAGCAACTGACCCAAATTTATGGCCTTTTGTAGCATCCTATAATCAGTGGTGCGGTGGCCTAGAGGTGAACATGTTCGTCTTACACTTGGGAGGCTGAGACTTCAAACCTAGGCAGCAACCATTGTTTCTCTATTGGCAGAAAGAGAAAATATCTGCTGCAAACTCCACATAGGCATCAGGAAGGGTATCCGGCTCAGCTCCATTCAGTTGCCCCAACTCCACCCCAATGAAAGGGATTACAGGGTTGTAAAAAAAATAAAATAGCATCCTGTAATCATATAACTGCAATTTACTATTTTTTATTTTTGTTTTGCTAGAAAGTGGCATTTACTTTTGGTCTCTGTGAACAATATATTTGTTTGTTTGTTATGAACATACATGTTTGTTTAACAACCACTGCATTTGCTTTATGATTCCCACATGCATTTTACAACTGTTGTGTTCAGTCAATGATCATCATGAAAAATGTCATAAAATCAGTTTGGTCACATGGTGATGTGCTTAAAGATGTGCTTGACTTTATGACCATAATTCTGGCCTTAAATTGAGGACTTATCTGTAGATGAAAAATTTGGCCCATTTAAAAGTGGGCAAAACCCAAGAAAAAGTTTTAACTATCACTGGGATAAGCCGTGGATAATTGTTTCCTACAACATCTTATTCAAATTAGAAATTTCTAAGGACCTAGGATGTTCTTATAATTAGAGTTTGAGTTTGAGTTTATTTAGATTTATATACCGCCCTAATCCCTAAGGACTCAGGGCGGTAAAGAGCCAAAGATAAAACAGATACAATATAAAATTTAAAAAACAATTTAAAAACATATTAAATAAATTTGGTCCATACTAATTAAAACACCTCTGTTTTTAAAAACAAATTAAAATTAAACAATTAAAAAGAGTTAGGCCAGCCCAGCTTGTTGGAATAAAAAAGTCTTGAGGGCACGGCGTAAAGTGCGTAAATCCGGGATCCTCCGTATCTCTGGGGGGAGCTTGTTCCAAAGGGCAGGTGCCCCCACAGAGAAGGCTCTCCCCCTGGGGGCCGCCAGTCGACACTGTTTGGCCGACGGCACCCTGAGGAGCCCCTCTCTGTGGGAGCGTACTGGCCGGTGAGAGGCTACCGGTGGCAGAAGGCGGTCTCGTAAGTATCCAGGTCCTAAGCCATGGAGTGCTCTAAAGGTGGTAACCAATACCTTGAAGCGCACCCGGAAGACCACCGGGAGCCAGTGCAGCTCGCGCAGGAGAGGTGTTACATGGAAACACCATGTCACTCCCATAACCACCTGCGCGGCGGCATTCTGGACCAGTTGGAGCCTCCGGGTGCTCCTCAAGGGGAGCCCCATGTAGAGAGCATTATAGTAGTCCAGGCGGGAAGTGACGAGGGCGTGAGTGACCGTGCATAAGGAGTCCCGATCGAGAAAGGGATGCAACTGGCGAATCAGGCGAACCTGGTAGAAAGTCCCCCTGGCCACAGTCGTCAGATGCTCTTCTAAAGACAGCCATGTATCCAGGAGGACGCCCAAGTTGCGAGCCCTCTCCGTGGGGGCCAGCAACTCGCCCCAATAGTCAGTGATGGCACCAACTGACTATATCGGGACGCCGGAAACCACAGCCACTCAGTCTTGGATGGGTTGAGCCTGAGTCTGTTTCTCCCCATCCAGATCCGCATGGCCTCCAGGCACCGGGACATCACTTCAAGGGCATCATTGGGGTGGCCCGGGGTGGAGATGTACAGCTGAGTGTCATCAGCGTACTGGTGGTATTTCACCCCGAAACTACGGATGATCTCGCCCAGCGGCTTCACATAAATGTTGAACAGAAGGGGTGAGAGGACCAACCCTTGTGGCACCCCACACACAAGGCGCCTCGGGGTCGACCTCTGCCCCCCTGTCAACACAGACTGTGACCGGTCAGAGAGGAAGGAGGAGAACCACCGCAACACGGTGCCCCCCACCCCCAACTCTTCCAACCGGCGCAGCATGATACCATGGTCAAAGGTATCGAAAGCCGCTGAGAGGTCTAATAGGACCAGGACAGAGGAACAGCCCCTGTCCCAAGCTCTCCACAGATCATCAACCAACGCGACCAATGCCGTTTCTGTGCTGTACCCAGGCCTGAAACACGACTGGAATGGATCTAGATAAACAGTTTCATCCAGGTACTGAGGAAGCTGTCGCGCCACCACACTCTCAACAACCTTTGCCACAAAGCGAAGGTTGGAGACTGGACGATAATTTACTAACACTACCAGGTCCAGGGAAGTCTTCTTAAGGAGAGGCCTCACCACCGTCTCTCCTTAAGAAGAGTTTCTCCTTTAGTAACTCAATTTCTGTAGAAATAGATAGGAAGTGCTAGCCATGAATTTTGCTTGATTTAATTTTGAGTTTCTGATTCAAGTTTTGCCTCATTTCCTATGGATTTCTGTCCAAGATAGGAAACAGCATACTTTAAGCTTTATTTTACCCTTACTTCAACCTATAAATTAAGATGTTTTATGTCTTCAAACCTCTTTAATGCAAAATAATATTTGAAATATTATGCCCTCGTGACCTCTCGCCTTGATTACTGCAATGCTCTCTACATGGGGCTCCCCCTGAGGAGCACCCGGAGGCTCCAACTGGTCCAGAACGCAGCAGCGCGGGTAGTGACAGGTAGCAGCGTGGCGCTCCCATGTAACACCGCTCCTGCGTGAACTGCACTGGCTCCCGGTGGTCTTCCGGGTGCGCTTCAAGGTGTTGGTTATCACCTTTAAAGCGCTCCATGGCATAGGGCCTAGCTATCTTCGAGACCGCTCTACTGCCACCAACGACCTCCCACCGACCCGTGCGCTCCCACAGAGAGGGCCTCCTCGGGGTGCCATCAGCCAAACAATGCAGGCTGGTGACCCCCAGGGGGAGGGCCTTCTCTGTGGGGGCACCTACCCTCTGGAATCAGTTGCCCCCTGAGATAAGGAGAATCCATGACCTCAGTGCCTTCCGCCGTGCCCTTAAAACTTTCTTTTTTCAACAAGCCGGGCTGGCTTAATTTCTTTTTAAGGGTTTTATTAATTGTTCTGTTTTGCTTATCGTTTTTAATTAATGGGGCCAAATCTATATATATTTTTAAATGTGTTTTAATATTTGTATTTGATGTTTTTATCTGGCTGTTCACCGCCCTGAGTCCTCAGGGAGAAGGGCGGTATACAAATTCAAAAATAAAATAAAAATAAAATAAAAATAAAATACTATGAATAATATTTTTACAATATCTTTTTAGAGATTCTGAAAGATTTGTAGGTCACTATTACCTTATGTTCTACCCAGAGCTCATATCCCCCCCCATTTTAACCAAATTGCTGTCTTTCCATAATATATTTTATCTAACATTCTTCTACACACATTGCATGTATGCATTTCGCTATTTCAAGTTAAGGGATTTGACATTTCATTTTTTAATGTTTTTCCTTAATAAAGTTTGATTTTATCCATTTCTTTTGAGATTAATCTTGTTCCCAATAAAAGTCTACATCCTATAGAGATAGATGGCAGCAACAGTAACTATCAAACTTCTGTTCCAAAATAGAAAGCAGGGGCAGCATGTTGACATTCAGACGGCTTCTGGTTTGAGCTCCCAGCCTTCAGTGCCACAGGCTTAGTCTTCTACAGTCTTTATCAGAATACTGGCTTAGTCTAGGTTTTATGTATATATTTATTATTTCTTACGGGTTCTGGAAGAAGAAGTTGAAAATTACTTAACCATATTAAGAAATGATTACTTTGGTTGTCTGTAAAATTGACTTTGGATTATTCCCAGGTTGTTGAATAAACTGGATTTGAAACAATTCTTAGGTTAATATTAAGCCACAAATTCATGAAGTTTTCCCAGAAAGAGTAATAAGCTAATGTCAATGTCATGTTTATAACATTTGAGAGTTTAACATTTAACAGAACCCACGGTCTCTATAATATGCACCACTTTCATGGATCCCCAGTACGTCTCATTTTACAATCTGGCCTGCAAAGAATATCCTGTAGTTTATGTAGGATTTTTAAAAATCTCCGTAATTATCACCGAAGCTACAACATTCTTTTATGTTTTTAGTCTATTATTTTTGTAATATGGTCTATTTCACAACTCAATTTTTACATATCTTTTGCATTTTTTCATATGAGTATTATGTTTGTCATACTTTTTAAGAAGGATGGATCCTAAACAGAAGTAGAAATAAAAGCAGACCCATGGGAGAAAGAGAACTTTAGGAAGAAGTAGGCAGAAGGTGAAGTTCTAGCAGAATTTTATTAGCCCTATTTTTTATTCTTCGTTCAACTTCATTCAAATGACTTATGAAAATCTTTACCAGATGTTGGCTTAATGAAATCTGACATTTTGATCCCAGACCCTTTTTATTAACTGTCAAGATACAATGCTTCTTTCTTTTTTAAAAACTTGGACGATGTATGCTGTCATAATCATTAAATAATAAGTTATTGTTCCTGCTATCCGCATATTTAATGTTACATATATGTTCAGTTAGAGATAAAACTAAAATAACTTCACAAGAAGAGGAAACAATTGTGAGGCATGACCTCTTATGGGTGAAAAGAAATGGTTCTGTTTCTTCTGAGTTCATAGGATTGCAGTATTAGTATACAGTATCTCAAGATAGTTTAAAATTGTTTTGAGGATGATTGTAACTTATAAATGTTATTTTCTTTAAGACAGTGTCCATGGTACTTATTTTCTTCATTGTGCCAGTCCATACATTACTTTTTACAAACATTTTGTGCTATATAAAGAGATGTTGTAAGGCCATTATGTTTTTGCAGTTACTAAGAAATTTAATTGTGTATTTTTTATTATTTTAGAACGTTGTTCCAGCTGAAGTATCCCTTGTTTGTGTAGTTAAACCAGATGAATTCTGGGATAAAAAGGTTACACATTTTTGCTTTTGGAAAGAGAAAGATAGACTTGGCTTTGAGGTATGTATATTTATTTATTTCTGACTTAACTATTGCACTTAAGCTATCGTTGCATGGATTTAGAATACAGAAACAGTTCCTAATGAATGCAAATCTGGAAAGAGTTATTAAATGATTCCTTGAGTATTACACTGTAAACGTTTCATAATACTAACTTTACCATATTGTGACGTATTATTCAATAATTAGCAGTGCTCTGATCCCTTGTTTCTACGGAAATGTTGGCTTCTTACATTTGAATTTTCTTAGTCATAGCTGTAAGTGATTTCCATTTGAAATCAGTCCCTTGAAATATTTTTGCCATGAACTTAATTACCAGTTTCTCTTACTAATAATGTCTTGTGTAACCAGATTCTTCTAAGATTAATTTTTCATTCATTTTAACTGTTCACGGAAGGTGCATTAATACTCCCTCCAATATAAGATATACTTATCCTGCTTTGCTCATCTCCAACTCTTCTTTGTCAAAATGTTCTTTCTGCATTTAGTAAAGGATACAGGAGAGTTGGAGGGAATTTGATGGCTTATAAACCTGATCTAGCCATGAGTTTGCCCAGTCCAGACTGGGTTGGCTTAAAATAAGACACCTCCCCCTCTCTAAATTTCCATCTTTTAGGGGCACCAAAGGCAACGAGCGTTTAACTCCCTATCTCTTTCTACTTGGTGAAAGTTCTCTCTGTGGAGCAGAGAAAAATAAGGCGCGATTACACTTCAGAACACATCTTTGAATTTGTTCTGTTGAGGACCATCCAGTACCATCTGGGCCCTTGTTTTCCTTGTGGCAAGCTTCCATAGTTTGAAATGTATCCCCATTAAAAATTCTCCCTATAGGATTGATTCATGCCCTTTCTCTGTCACAGCATTGTTTTCTTTCCAAACAAATTAGTAAAAGGCCTAGAGAAAAACTACTAAGGCACTAATGATCCTGAGATAATATTCATATTCTATCATTTTCAGAAATTTGGACAGTTTTTATTATTTTACTCGAAGGACTGATTTTCTACCAGTGATTGCATTATAAAAATGTATTTAATTTCATTCAGTGTAGAGGCATTTAATTAAGAATGTGATGGCAGCCATGAGGGTAATTTGTTATAACTAAAACTCAGTTATGAACATAAAAGCAAAATGATTGAAGTGAAATCCAGGCATGTTGATTTTAGTAACTTTATTACACTGTTGTCAGTTGACAGTAATACAGAAAATTTGAGAACACTCTGTGTGTATGTGTGTGTGATAAAAGTTATATTGGAAAAATAGTATGTTTAAACTAGCAAGGCTTTTAAGAGCTGGCAGCTCTTTCCTCACTCCCACCCCGACTCAAAGCTGCTACCATTTTTGGTATATTAGGACATAGCTATGCTTAGATATGACTGGTAAGGTTTTTTTTTCCCCTACAGACTCTTTAGATGTCCTTATTCATTTTAACCATCTTTTTTCTGAATTTTCAAAAATATATTGCTGGAGATGAAACAATGCTTGATGGTATTGTAAGATAGGTTCTTAATATGTTCTCTGCAACAGAATCCCTAAGGATATTTTCCACTACACTCATTTTAATACAGTATGGAAACCATATTTCTATAAATAAATAGCAATGTTTTTAAATAACAAAATTTGAGTTTCGAGCTCTGAAGATACTTATTTTTTATACTTTTTATTTTCTGTTGGGAACTCTGAGGTATTTATATAATGATTCAGATATCATGCAGCAAATTATTCTTGCATGTCTCAATTTATGAATTCATTTTTAAAAATGGGTAAATATAAAACAGAATGTAATAAAGTTTTATATATATATATATATTATATATATATATTATATATATATATATATATATATATATATATATATATATATATATATATATATATATATATATGTAGGTCTTTGGTTATTCGGGTCTTCTCCCACGTAAAATTGGAAGTGTCTTGGCGACGTTTCGACGAAGTCTCATTCGTCATCTTCAGGCTGGTGTTCTCGGCTTCGTGCTTCCAGGAGCAAATTTGCTCCATGTATATATATATACACACATACATATATTCTTTCTAGCTAGGTTTTACCTACGTAAGCTAAGATGTTCTGCAGCCCTGGTTCTGTGAAATCTCATTCACAAGTTTCTGGGCTTTTTGTATCTTGCTGACAAACAGCAACTCTGTGCTGCTCATTGGGAGACTCAGATAGCTATTTCTGCCTTGTAAGGCATCATCAGTGAGCCACACCCTCTTCTCAAGTATCCTCCCTGTAAAGGTGTGTGTGTGTGTATGTGTGTGTGTGTGTGTGTGTGTGTGTGTGTGTGTGTATATATATATATATATATATATATATATATATATATATCTATATATATATATATATATATATATATATATATATATATATATATATATATATATATATATATATATTTCTTCGTAGGATTTATGTGTGTTTTACCTCTAGCCAGGTTTTTTCTACATAACCAAGGTTTTTCTGCAGCCCTAGCTCAGTAGAATCACATCCACTCGATTCTGGGCTTTTTTTTCTTTCTGGCAGCCAGCAAGAGTCTCTCACCAGGCAGCAAGATTCTACTGATTCTACTGAGCTAGGGCTGCAGAAAAACCTTGGTTACGTAGGAAAAACCTGGCTAGAGGAAAAACATATATATATATATATGTTTATATATATATAGCTATATATATTCCTGTCTTGAAGTGGTTAAATTTGTAGGAAGAGACATTGTATGGGAATTTTCTCATCTTAGTATTCTTGGTGCTCTGTGATGCACAAGGAAAACGAGGTTTTCATTAACTCCTTAAATTTAGGGGCTTTTTTTTCCCCCTTGTAGTTTTTGGTTCAAAGTTGTATACTGTACATGTTTTTTATTTGCCATTTAAAAAAAAAACAACTCAGTCTTTAAATTATCCCTTTGAAAAACAGTTTCAACAACAAAAGGCTCAATTATATATTAGCATAAGTTTCAAAGATTGGGGTAAAATCCTGAAAATGTTAAATCACATCATAAATCGGGACTCCTTATGCACGGTCACTCATGCCCTCATCACCTCCCGCCTGGACTATTGTAATGCTCTCTACATGGGGCTCCCCTTGAGGAGCACCCGGAGGCTCCAACTGGCGCAGAGTGTGGCTGCGCGGGTGATAATGGGAACGACATGGCGTTCCCATGTAACACCTCTCCTGCGCGAGCTGCACTGGCTCCCGGTGGTCTTCCGGGTGCGCTTCAAGGTTTTGGTTACCACCTTTAGAGCACTCCATGGCTTAGGACCTGGTTACTTACGAGACCCCCTACTACCACCAACAGCCTCCCACCGGATGGTACGCTGTCATAGAGAGGGACTCCTCCGGGTGCCGTCAGCCAAACAATGTTGACTGGTGGCCCCTAGGGGGAGAGCCTTCTCTGTGGGGGCACCTACTGTCTGGAATGAGCTCCCCCTGGAGATACGGAGGATCCCGGATCTGCGCACCTTCCGCCACGCTGTGAAGACCTTTTTATTCCACCAGGCGGGCTTGGCCTAATCTTTTCCCTCTTTTTAATATGTAAATTTTAATCTGTTTTTAAATTATTGGGGTGTTTTAATTTGTCTGGGCCAAAATTGTTTAATTGGATTTTATCTGGTTTTTTAAATTTTTTGTATTTATGTATTTTATTGTTTGGCTGTTCACCGCCCTGAGTCCTTCGGGAGTAGGGCGGTATACAAATCAAATCAAATCAAATTAATTACTTAATTAATTAATTTTAATAAATTAATATTTTGTTTGGAACAAGGAAGGGAAAAAAACCAAGATACCTACCTATCATCTGTCCATTGATGGAGTGAAATCCTGAAATATAATAGTGTTTCAAGGGTGAAAGACAGTGATGACTGTGTCTTTGCTAGTGCAAGGCAGTTATATTTAACTTTCATAGGTGGTGCTTTATTAATAGGACCTTTCTGGAATCGAATGTCACACCAAGTGGATTTGGTTGATGATGAACACGCCAATACATTATACATTGCCCTACAATTTCCCTTTCTTCTGACATGAAGCTGTTGTGGGAGAGCAGAACTCCCAGTTGACAACCCATAATTTTTACATGACACTTCCAGACAATGCGACTTTATATTGCCCGAAATTTCCAGTTTCACATTTCAAAAGGAACAAGACTTGAATGGACTCTTCACGCTATTAAAGTTACCAGGATTTTATAGACATTTCTGTGGTACAAAGTTGGTGAACAGAGATGTCTCAGCCAAACAGTACCAGTAATTGAGTGCTCCACGAGATCAAAGCAAAATCCAGGAACTTTTAAAAGGCTACTCACTTTTTAGGGAATTTCTTCTTTGCAAAAATTCCTTTGTGAATGGAAAAATAGGTTCTGCTTCCACAATCAAACGTGGGGAGTGATGAATTTGTTTGGCAAGCCAGTTGTTTGAAAATGCTTTTTTACAGATACAGTAAATAGGAAATAAATACTTACAGGGATATGTTAGCATCTACATGCTTTGTTAGGGCTAGGGCTAGGATATTTTACTCCATTATTTAAAGGTACCAGGTTAAAAGTTAGGTAGAAAAGAAGGAACTAATAATTTTTAGAAAAAATAAAAAATATGTCAGTTTTCTTAAGTGTTTTACTTTACTTTATCATTTTTACAGATGATCCATCTGTGAACATTGGAATTTAATGGAAAATTCATTTATGTTATTTGTGTTTTAAAATGTTAGTTTGAAAGGATGAACATTTGAATGCCTGGAAATTGAATCTGGGAGATAAAAAGAGATAAAACATTTAAAAATTGTGGAGAAGAAATTCAGTTAATTGAATTTGCAGTCTTGTTACACTACCCAGCAATGTAGCAACTGAAAAAGCAATACTTTTTGTGTTAGTGGACATAGGATGTGATTGTGGTCCCTAGTGAGCAATCTGATTTGCAGATTACTTCCATATGGTTGTAATAATCCAGTTTCATTAAGGCTAAAAACAGTTGTTCCATCTTTGTGGCTCAGGATTTCTGTCGTGATAACAGTAGTGTGGAAGAAAGCCTTTTCAACAACTTTCATTACTTTTGGAGGGGGGTATAAATTTTCATGCTTAGTTCATCATAATTCATTTGATTGTATATCATCAGTTAATGAAGTACCATATTTTTCGGTGTATAAGACGCACCAGAGTATAAGACGCACCTTAATTTTGGGGGAGGAAAACAAGGAAAAAAAGTATTTTACCTCTGCCTACCAGCATTTAAGGTTGCACAGCCCTCCTCTTCCTCCTGCAAGTGAGAGGTGCAGGGACTACTTGCTTTCCCCCAAAGAGACCCCTAGCATGCTCTGGGGGGAGGGACAGAGCACAACCTGAGGAACAACCCTCCCTCTTTGGGACAGTGGGGGGGGGGAATCTGCCCAGCAATTTTGGGGAACAAGGCGGGTGCCACGATTTGCGGCTGGTCACCCCTCTGGCCGCGCTGACTTCACTCCCCAGCAATGTGAGGAGCCGCCGCCGCTGCCGCTGCCTAACCCTCTCTGTGCCCAGGAGCCAAGCCGAGCTGAATGGAAGCCCCTAAAGGGAAACATTCCTCCTTTCCAGCCATCGCTGCCCGGATTCCAAAATGCAAACCTCAAGAGTCGCACTTCAGGTGGCGGCCAGTTCCCTGCAATGTGCAGCGGGGAACTGGGAAGTGCTTTGGATTCGGGGAGGAGATTGTCGCGCTGACGCCTAAAGTGTTTTTCTGCACATTGCAGAGCCGCGCGCCACCGTCCTCCTTCTCAGCAGATTCTTCTCTTTCCTCCTGGCCAGATTTTTGTCTCTGCACACACCCCATGTTTGGAATCGGGTAGAGGATCGTGGGTTCGGGCGGCAGACCCGCGATCCCCTTCCCGATTCCAAATATGGGGTGTGTGCAGAGACAAAAAAAAGTGTACCATGTTTCAGGCGGCTGATCTGGCCAGGAGGAAAAAGAAGAGTCTGCTGAGAAGGAGGACAGGGACGCGCGGCTCTGCAATGTGCAGAAAAAAACTTTTAGGTGTCAGCGCTACAATCTCCTCCCCAATCCAAAGCACTTCCCAGTTCCCCGCTGCACATTGCAGGGGAACTGGCCGCCACCTGAAGCACGACTTGAGGTTTGCATTTTGGAATCCGGGCAGCGATGGCTGGAAAGGAGGAACATTTCCCTTTAGGGGCTCCCATTCAGCTTGGCTTGGCTCCTGGGCACAGAGAGGGTTAGGCAGCGACGACGACGGCTCCTCACATTGCTGGGGAGTGAAGTCAGCGTGGCCAGAGGGGTGACCAGCCGCAAATCATGGCACCCGCCTTGTTCCCCAAAGCTGCTGGGCAGATTCCCCCCCCCAACTGTCCCGAAGGGGGAGGGTTGTTCCTCAGGCTGTGCCCCGACCCAGATCCCTGCTGCCTGGAACTGGCCGAAAATGGCCGAAGGGTTGGGGCCGGCGGGTGGGCAGGGCTACATTCAGCATATAAGACGCACCCAGATTTTACCCCCTTTTTGGGGGTAAAAAGGTGCGTCTTATACACCGAAAAATACGGTATGTGCTTCAGTTTACTCTAAACAATTTGATACGAAGTGCTAATAGTATAATAGAAGTAAAATATTGAATTATATTAAGTTACATAAGCATAATAGAAGTAAAAACTTGAGCTATATTAATTGGGATAAAAAATTAAATATTTGTTCCAAGTAATGAGATATTAAGACTTTTCTTTAAAACATTAATTCATTGATGCATTTTAAAATATGCCTACTTATTTATTAAAGTGTAATAGCTAAAAGTCTGTTATACTTCAATCTTACTATGAAAAAATGGATGGTTTTCAGTTGAAGCATAATACAGTATTTGATTTTCTAACACAAACTTCTGAGTTGTTAATTTCCCATTTAATGGCTCATATAGGTTATTTTGGTATCTGCCAACAAGCTTACTCGATACATAGAACCATCTCAACTAACTGAAGATTTTGGAGGAAGTCTTACCTATGATCATATGGATTGGCTGAACAAAAGACTGGTTAGTTTCTTGGCAAATGTTTTTCTTTTTCAATATAATTGTTAAAAAATATAATCTAGTTGCATCTACATACAACTGCATTTGGTGTTGCCTGTGGGCAGGGTGGATAAAAATCAATGATTTTTTTAAAAAAATCAAAAAAATTGGATTTTTTTTATTTAAATAGGATTTTTTTGATTTTTAGCGAATTTATTTTAATAAAAAACTTTTGGGGTAAAAATCTATCGTAAGATAGTTTTCTATTTAAGATACATAAATAATTTAGTTTATTCAGCATGAAATGGAGCTTAGTTATGTAGCACAAGGCTGTATATTCTGCAACACTGGGACTATCGGTGAGTCAACAGTGGGTCAAAGGAGTAGCAGAGATGACAATTGCTCTTTAAAAATTATGATTTAAATCAAGTTGATTTAAATCAGGCCTTTTTACTAGTGGTTTAAATCATGATTTAAATTGTGATTTAAATCAACTCGATTTAAATCAAATCCACCCTGCCTGTGGGTTAAAAAAATCCACACATATTATTACCAAGAGTAGTTGGCAATTCAGGATTTGGAGATTCTATCATTGGTTGTCCTTTTGTTGTACACATTTTTTTAAGATACAGCCAGGATTACAGATTTTTTAAAAATCTCCATTGACTATATAGATTATAATAGTTTGTGAATAATTCCTGATAAAACTTTATGTTTAAGGATAGTTAGTTTTTTGCCGTGTACCAAATCTAAATGTGAAACATAATAAGCAAAATTAAATAAAATACAGATAGGATACATGTATAGGAGCCAGTTTGGTATAGTAGTTAAGGCATCCGGCTAGAAATCAGGAGACTGTCAGTTCTAGTCCTGCCTTGGGCACAAAGCCAACTGGTGGACCTTGAGCTGGTCGCTCTCTCTTAGCCCTAGGAAGGAAGGAAGGGCAAACCATTTTGGAAAAAAAAACTTGCCAGAACAATTGCAGGGACTTGTCCAGGCAATCTCCAAGAATTGGACATGATTGAATATCATTTTTTTAAAAAACAAAAACCACATGTGCAGTTATTCAGTAACTGCAGTTGGCCAATGTGATTGTAATTCATGCTGAATTACATGAAAATAAAGATTAAGATTCTTAAGGCAAATATTGATTGGCAATAGTGGAATATTAACATTATCCTTACTTGTTATTTGAATATTTTCTCTTAATTGGTTATTTCAACACACATAAAAATTCTCTGCTGAAAAATTCTTGATACTGCCATTATGACTAGTATGTTTTACTTTACATTCCATTCCTTTGACATACATCAGTGCACACACATCCTTGATACTCATCATTACCCTTGAGAGAGAAAAAAAACAGCATAATGATTAATGTTGAATGAAGTTTCTTAGAATGGCTTCTCAACAGCATTGCAGCAGCTGTCAAAACATAGTGATTAGTTTTGCAACTTGGATTTTTAAAGGCTTGTGTCCAGCAACCAATTATAACCTAAAGTCCTGTTTAACTTGATAATATTCTTAGTCTAGTTCTGCTTTAAATGGTTATGATGACTGAGCATTTGACCAAAGCCTTGGGTGTCGTCAGGAAATTACAGAGGTAATCCTAAATTTGTGACCACAATGGAACATGGAATTTCAAGCACAATTGTATGTTCTTGTGTTTGTGAGTCTAGGCACCATGTGACTGGAGTCACTTTTACAACTTATTTTACATTGGTTGTAAAGCACGTCATCACAGTCATGAAGCTAAATATGTGGTCTTTTAAGTGAATCCAGCATGTATAATGGCCATTTTTTTTGCTATTTTCTACTGAAAAATAGCAAACTCCCCCTCACAAATTGTGGTCACATGACTACAGGATGCTGCAACTTGTAAATGTGAGCCAGTTACCAAGCACCCATAGTGTGATCACGTGACCACAGGGAGAGGTACAGCAGTTGTAACTTAGAGGAAGGGGCATAAGTAGATTTTTGAAGTCTTACATATTATAACTTCAAATGGTCATTAAGCCAACAGTCATTAAGTGAGGACTTCCTGAATCAGTGAATGTAAAAATAATGCATTTCTGTGATATGGCAGTTGCTATTCATGCAAAACGTAAAGACCAACCACCATCTTTAGAATTTGTTCTTAATGGAACGGTAAGAGCGCTATACTGCAAAACTTCAGACATTAAATGGTAAAATTCAGTCTCTGAAATGCTAACTCACTATTTTATATAGGCATTTGAGAAGTTTACAAAAGAGTCTACATCCTTACTTGATGAGCTTGCATTAATCAACAGTGGAAGTGATAAGGGAAGCCAACAGGAGAAAGAGCGGTAATACTTTTCTTGCTGTTATTGATTGTTCCATAGGAGAATCTTAATTATCAAAAGTGTGGTGTTTCTAGCTATTGTTGTGGTCTTTTTTTTGCTTCTAGCTTGATCATAGAAATATACTTGTAACTATAGCTCCCTTACATTTTTGGTATAGTTAAAAAATTCTGTGACTGCATTTGTGTTATGTTGCAGTAAAATATATGACAGGGTTCAGCAGCAACCTCCCACGTACTTGTGACTGTTCCCCGGCCAAGTTCCCGAACCAGCACAGGCTCCTTTTGCTCTCCCTCCACTGCTGCTCAGTGCCAGAACAGACAAGAAGGAAAAAGGGTGCTTCTCCTCTGAGCTTGATTCCTCTGCCCCCTCCCCAATAGCTCCCTTGCCAAGATAACGTGTTTTATTGTGGCTGAAGCAGCAGCTATGAGACCCAGGCAAGCCACTTCTGCCCAAGGGCCTCCTCTGCCTTATTTGGTGGGGGAATGGAAAATGAGGTATTACTAGACTGGCCTGCCTTCCCAGAAAGCACTGCCTTTCTCTCCCTCTCCCTGTTCCCAATTTGCCTATTGAAATTAAGGCTGGCTTCCCTTCAGCCCTGCTCTTGATCGGGGAGGCCATAGCCTCAATCTGAAACCTACGAAAAGGGATAGGGGAGCATGAGAGATGCGCTCACATTTCCAGTTAAGAAAACTTAAAATACTGCTTTTTCAGAATGCTGTGCTAAAACCCTTTTCTTGAGCGGGGAGGAGAAAAACCACCCTTAGTGCAGGGCTCCTGCTCCCGCTGCTGCCATGCAAGCCCATCCACAGCAGAGTTGACATCCACAGGGCCAGAGGTTGGGGGTTTCTTCCTACCGGTGACATTGCCTCACTGCCACGTGACAAGCGAAGTAGGGGCAACGGGCCCTCTTTATCGTGAGGGCCTCCTGGAAGGGATCTGGCCACTCCCGTTCCCCCTTGGTGCACTCCCCTATTAAACTGCCTGCCCCACTGGAACTGGACAGCGAAGGGCAAGCGTCCCGAGCAAGGCAGGGAGCAGTGGTGGCAGCATTCAGGGCAGGAGATTCGGCTCATGTGAGGTGCTTCCGGGAAGAGCCAGGGAGCATTCCAGGAAGTCTCACTAGCCCCTCCCCCCTGCTGCCACCGCCATCCTGTCCAAAGTGCCACTGCGAGCATCCCAAGCAAGGCGGGGAGCGTCATTCGGGGCAGGAAATTTGGCTGGTACAAGGCACTTCGGGTAAGAGCCAAGGAGGGTTCTGACGCCGCCATCTCTCATGCGCTCCCCTCCCCACGTGCGTCAGTCCAACCACCAGGATCACCCCTCCATCAGCCGGCCGCAGTTGCCCATCCACACCCTTTGGCCAAGTGCAATGGGTGCAGAGCGTGTCTCTCCGGTGTGGAGCGTATTCCCCTAGAGCACCCGACTGCAGCGGCGGGTGCACAAAATGGCTGCTTCGCCAGCAGGCCCTGCAGGAAATGGGGGAGGGGGCAGCATTTCCCTGTTCGCTACCAGACCGCGACTGGGGAAAGCCAGATCCCCATCAGAGCCTCTGCTGCCCAGGCCCAGCAGAGATTGAGGGGGAAGGCATGCGATCCCGGCTGGGCTTGGGCAGCTATAGTGCTGATGGGGATCGAGCTTTTCCCAGGCCCGGCAGATGGGTGGGGTGAAATGTGCAGGGCAGCCTTGTGGTCCCACGTGGCCTGCATTAATGGCTTAGGCGGGCTGTATGTGGCCTGCGGGCTGTAGTTTGAGGACCCCTGATATATGATATATGTTCTGAGAAGACATATGAAAGTTTTCTTTGTATTAATAATATCTTTCTAAGTTCTTAATATATGTTCACTTATTTCCTTTGAAAAATAACCAAAACAATTTTAAAAATGTTAAACATTCCTGAGATTTTGAAAATTTCCTTGGACATTGACAGATGTGTACTGAATCGTAACATGATCTCAGTATTCACAATGGGAAAGAAAAATAGAAATTTGCATAATTTGTATTGCTTTTAAATCTTAAAACTTCTGTTTTCATTCACAATAAATTATTTTTCTCTTTCAAGGTCTATAGATACAAATTTTCTTCCATCTGTTGATCCTGAGACCGTTCTGCAGACAGGTAAATCAGTCCAATATGGCATTATTTTTTAAAATCATGAGTAGCATGAACATAAACTGAATCAGCCACTTAACTAAAGTCCATACAGTTAATCAGTTATAGTTAATTACTATAAAATAATGCATTTATTAAATTTTTCCTTTTCTTTTTAAATATAGAATTTCTATAATGCAACTATTCTGCTTCCTCCTAATTTCTGGGAATAGCAGCAGTAGAGAAATAAAGTACTAGTCTCTCTTTCTGCTGAAATTGTTGAATTTATCTGTGAAAACAGTAAGCAATTACGAATTAAAATTCCTTTAAAGATATGGTAGCCAAAAGCAAAAAACTCATACCAGCCCAGCTATTGTATTCCCCCCCCCCCCAAATTCTGAAAGTGGGTTAGTCGGTATTTTTGCATGCCAGCTTTTCTCAAAACAGTTCATAGATACAGTGGCACAACTTGGACAGAGAGAGAGAAGCAACTTTACCTTAGTGCATCACCATTTTAGTGCTTTCACAGTGTCAGTCAGTGATTAGTTAGGTATTACAAATTGGCCAAGGGAATTATTTGTATCGTAAAACTGTTGTTGGGGTATTTGTTCTCTGCCTTCTTGCTGTTGTTATTGCTATCCTCACTCCACAATCTTATATCATGCTGTGGTTGTAACCTCAGAAAATTTGCATAAAAACTGAAATTAGAAGCCTTTATGTTTCCAACAAAAAGACTTTCCCATTAAACTTTAGCTCATTTTTTTGCCTGAGTCATTAGATTATTTGAATACTTAATATAAATATATGTGTATATATTCTATTAAGGTCATGAGCTCTTATCGGAATTGCAGCAACGGCGTTTTAATGGTTCCGATGGAGGAGTCTCCTGGTCCCCTATGGATGATGAACTGCTTGCTCAGCCCCAGGTTATGAAGTTACTAGATTCTCTCAGAGAACAGTATACGCGGTATCAGGAAGTATGCAGGCAAAGAAGCAAACGAACTCAGTTGGAAGAAATTCAGCAGAAGGTAATGCAGGTAAGTGGCATACTCACTTGCATCTATTGTTTGTATTAGTAAAATGATTAGATGGAGAGTTAACAGGTTTTTAATATGCTGTGTCAGCTTGTGGGAGCACCTCAAAGCTGCTACAATTTTTCCTGGATAAATGCGGCTACCATTTGCAATGGACATGTATTATACCTGGGAAAGGTACGCTTGATTTTAGGTATTCCTGACAAGTATCAGGTGCATGCCCAAATCACATTTTGCCCTTTAAATTTGAATCACGGCATTGCATTACCATAAAATTTGTATATCTAGTGATTGGAATCCAAATTTGCCCTTTTAATGCAAGGCTGTTCCCCACCAGAGTAATAATAAGATAAACTTGAAACAATTTGTGCATTGAAATGTCATGAAAGATCAAGTGGTGCTCTGGATATTGATATTAGACAGTCAGTTTGGTAGAGTGGCTAAGGTGCTGGGATAGAAACTAGGAGATTTTAAGAGAGTGGTTTGGGGGAAATGGGCAGAGGTTATATGAATGTTCACTGCCTTGAGTTGACTAAAAAACTCAAAACAAAGGTGGGTTAATTGAGAAAAATGCAATCTAGTTAGTGAAGTGCCTTTATTAATACATTTAAATAGATTTGTTTACAGGATCATCATTCTAATTACAACTTGCCATTTCTTTACTCTGTGTTACTGAATTACATAGGAAATTAATTATACTTAGACTGATAGTAAAGTGTTGCATTTTCCTCTTTTTTAGTTACTAATTTAGAAATCATCTGCTAAAGATTTTTAAATAATTTGTGAGGGGAGAAAGATCTCTTATTTAAAAAAAATATTTAAGAAAAACTACATGATCAAGGAAATATATTTCAAAGCCTTCAGCTAATTCTATCACCGAGTATTTTATGATGGAAAGGGAAAAATCAGAAGAAAGGGAAATGAAAGCTGGCAGCTATAGATTTATTGTACTGTAAAATACAGTCAATCCTTGGCTTACAACAGTAGTTTGGACCAGAATTGCCATTGCTAAGTGATACAGTCGTAAAACTCAACATTGTCTTCCCAGTTATACTTTGCTTCTGGGAAGCTGGCAGGGAATGTCAGAAATCACATGACTGTGGGAATAGCTGCAACGACAGAGCACTGTTCATAAGTCCCCCTTGTTCAATACCTTCATAACTTTGGTTATAAATGGATGTAACCCGAAGACATTGTTGTAATTGTTGCTGTGAAATATTCTTTCTCCCTGTATGAGTTATCCTTATAGAGTTACTACAAATAAGACTGATATTTGTCTAGTTTTTTTGACAGATGTTTGTGACTGACAAATTGTTTAACTTCTATTTTTGTTTTTTTAAAAATGGTATGCACATGCAAATGAACACTGACTGCATTTGTCCCTTATTTAAAATCGTAGTTATCAAATTTCAACTACCATGCAGTAAATGAACTATGGAACTAATACATTTTTAGTTACTTTCTATTAACAGGAATGTAATTAGCAGTTTTAAATTGACTGCAAAGTATGCTTTCTGAAGCTGACTTCTTGAACAGTTATCCTCATCTTCAGTTCCCAATATAAATAACATGAACTGCTATTCTTGATTAAAAGTGGATACAAAAGCTTCCAAGATCTTCGTATGTTAATATGCATGTCATCCATAAGTGATTATGTGCACCCAAATACAATTTAATGGGTTGTCTTCCAAATGGATTCTGTGGGTTGACTTAGTATTATATGGTAATAAATATCCATATTGACTTTGATGTGAGTAGTGCTGAAATTAATGTTTATAGGTTAGGTAGGAAGAATACCTGGGATAATGCTTGACACTGTCAGATTTGTATAACCACTATGTAGTATCTTAGACTATAAAACCCTCGGAAGTATTAAAAGGGCTAGGAAGGGAGATAAATAAGCATGGAAGTGGTCAAGACGGAAGTGTCTGAAAGCTTTATTTTCCATTTGCTAGCCTTGAATAGTCATGACATTCTTTGGCTACTAGCTCACAATAGATGAGTTGGGCTCGAAGGATCTTTACTATCCATGTACAGTTCACATTGCCAATCTGTCAGAATGTGCACAGTGTGACTACTATTTTGAGACAACCCAAGAGCAAAATACAGTACACAGAGGTTTTTCAAGCAGTGGTTTATCTACAGGTTATATACATACAAGTGCTAAGCAAAGCCAGGCAATCAATCAATCAATCAATGGGAGGAGATCTTCTGAATTTTCAATATTTCTGCATAAATATGACCTGAAATGTGATCTGCTCTCCAAACAAATCCTAAAACTAGATAAAGAGAATCCAGTTAAACCAAGGAGTCAAAAACATTTTAAGTACTACTGCAGTGTAAGATATGTTTCTAGATTTCTACACATATTTGACAAATGCTTGTCTTTGTTATAGTATATAAAATAATGTATGCTAAGATTTTTTTTTTTAGGAAATTTATCAAAACAACATAATTCCACAAATTAGAACAATTTACCTTTCACTAGAAACAAAAAGGCATTGCATTTTACCTGCCAATATAAGTATAAATTGAAAATAAGAAGTGTGCCTCCTCTCCTTATGCTGCTTCTGATATGAGACTGCAATGTTATTAAGATTCACAAAGAGAACATGCATTAAAAAAAATGGGATTAGGTTGTTTAGTCCCTTGATTTTGTACCTAAAGGGTTTACCAACCCTGACCTCTCCAGTCCTTATTTTTCTTCTGGAAATAAGGTTGCTATTTATATATATATACTGTGAAGTGTATTAGGAAAGGTTGCTTTAAATAATAGAAAGCCTTTAAAATCTACCCGGCCTCTATTGGTTTTAAATTATATGTGATGACGAACATGCTGCTTTTTGATTTAAATAGGTAGTGAACTGGCTCGAAGGGCCAGGTTCGGAACAGCTTAGAACCCAGTGGGGAATCGGTGATTCAATTAGGGCTTCACAAGCTTTGCAACAGAAACATGAAGAGATTGAAAGTCAACACAGCGTGAGTTTTCATTTTCCCAAGGAAATTACTGTGTAATGATTTTTATATGTCATTTATGGTATGCAATATTTCTAGTGGCCTTCTTTTCTGGTGAATTTTAGACAGTGATTTATGTATTGGCAAATGGGGCACCTTCTAGAACAAGCTACTGATCATATAAATGATTAGTTCTAGTGTCATAATAGTATGCTATGTAGTTGGAAAAAGGGATGGCTGTGCCTCTGAGACTGAAAAGACAAAATAAATCATTGTGCCTACCAAGGACCGACCCTCTAATCTCTTGGACTCTAGGGGTGGGGAAAGTTTCATTTATTCCTGCCGGTTTTGGGCAAAGAATAGTTATTTCTCCCAGTGAATTATTTGTACTACTTTCCCATTCTTTCCAGCTGACTTGGGAACAGTTATTCAATACAATTGAGCTGCTTGCTTCAACTACTTGAATAGGAATGACAAGCCAGTTCTGTTCACCTATTTGCCCTTTCCCCAGCAGTAACAGATAAGAGTATTCTATAATTAACCAGTGATCATTGTGCTAAAATAACAGGAATAAGGATAGGCTTTATATAGCTTCAACAATTTTCTGGATGAAGTTATAAGCCAGTAGTGAGGAAATGGTTCTCTCTGTCCATTCCTCTATAGCAGGGATGCCAAACTCAATTTCATTTAGGGCCCCAACAGGGTTGTGTTTGACCTTGGGGGGCCGGGGGCGTGGCCAGCTCGACATCACTCATGTCGGGGGGGCCTGTGGTGACCTGAGTGCTCTGCCAGCGAAAACAGATTCCAGAGCTCCAATTTTGGCTGCGACGGCCCTCAACCCTCTTCCAGTAAAAGGGAGCTCAGGAGAGCCACACGTGGCCCTCCCAAGCTCCATTTTCACTTGCAGAGGCACTGCAGGCCGGTTCTTCGCTGTTTCCATGGTGGCCCCACAGGCCCGATTTAAGCACTCCGCTGGCCGAATGGGGCCTGCGGGCCTTGAGTTTGATACCCCTGCTCTATAGCAGTGGTCCCCAACCTTTTTATCGCCGCGGACCAATCAGCCTTTGATAATTTTACCGTGGCCCGCTGAGCGCGCGCAGGGGTGGGGGCTTTGGGCCACACGTGCGTACCTGCGCGGGGCTCTCTTCCCTGGAGCCTTTGCGCACGGCCCAGGAGCTTTTGCGCACGGCCCAGGAGCTTTTGCGCACGGCCCAGGAGCCTTTGCGCTACAGCGTTCATGTCCCCCGGCCGCTGCGCGGCCCGGTGCCAGGTACTCCACGGCCCGGCACCAGTCCGCGGACCGGGGGTTGGGGACCACTGCTCTATAGCATCTGTTTCTCTGCCTGCCACTTTCTCCAGGCCACTCTGCCTCTGTCCCTATTTCTCAGTGGTTTTGTCCCACTCTTTGTTATATGTCCCAGTGTTTCTGTTTGGCTGCCTGTCTTTCCTTGCCCTTCTTTCGCACATTTGCAATTTTACTAGCATGTAAGTTCGCATCAAATGTTCCAGGTGCTTTGCATTACTTCAGAGTTGTCTCCTGTGCTTTTAAGAACTGGAACACCCTTCCAATGTGGGGGGAGGGACAAGTAAAGAAAGCCTAGGAAATTGTTTAATAAATCTAGGATAAGGAAAAGGAGAGGGAAGAATTGTATGATCAAGGGAACAAATGGATGAACAGCCAGATGCATTTTGCTGAGTGTTAAATAAATGCAAATCAGTCTTGTTGTTTTTTAAAAAAACAGATTTGGGCAAATCAAAGGACAGGATATTACAGTTGGGGGGAAATGAAAGAGTTCTTTATATGAATAAGATAAAGAACAATTTGAAAAAACCCATTGAGAAAAAATGTTCTTGAAAATTGCTTCCAGCTTCTGAAATTGACTAAATAATAGAATCATTTTATTATGCTGGAAACAAAATGAAAGGGGGACGTAATGTTGAGTTCAGCAGATTTTCATACCATTCGTTTTTTAACATAACATTGTTAAATAGAGATATGCATAATCTTGTTCAATATTGCAGTAAGCTGAGGTTTGCTGAACAGTGGTTGTACCTGTGCTTTTAAAAACAAAATGGCAAAATTATCAATAATGGTGATAATACCTTGATGACTGATTTTGCAGGAGTGGTTTGCAGTGTACGTGGAACTGAATCAACAAATTGCAGCTTTACTGAATGCTGGGGATGAAGAAGATCTTGTAGAACTAAAAGCATTGCAACAGCAGTTGAGCGATGTTTGTTATCGGCAGGCCAGCCAGTTGGAGTTTAGGCAGAATCTGCTACAAGCAGCTCTTGAATTTCATGGTGTTGCTCAAGATGTAAGTAAAATATGCACTTTCTCATTGTATGCTTTGCTTCATGAAAATGCCATTTGTCAGAAGGTCAATAGATAAACCGGTTATATTTAGGAATAATTTTGCTCAAATAGTTCCAATGAGCATGGAAAAAGTCTTAAAATAAATGAGAACAAGGAAGTATTAGGACTCATTTGGAAATCTGCTGTTAATTAATGGAGGCAGTTTTAAAAAGAGTGTCCATTTCTCTATATTATGTACACACTGACTAGACAGGAGTTCCCTTTCCATGTTTGTTATAATTCTTTCACCAAGAAGCTAGACAAGCAAAGCTGGAGCAGATAAGCAAATTACATAAATCTCTGCTATAATATCTGTTGGATTTTTCTAGACACAAACTCTGAGCCAAGCCAATGACAAACTCACAAACTATTTGTCCTTTCGTTTAGATTCTTTAAAGCATATGGTTCTTGAGAAAATTGCAGAGCGTGTGAAGAAATTAAGAGTTACCACCTGCTTTTAGAAAATTGATTTGGAGGGGCTCTGATCCTTCTTGGCAGGCAGTGTTTCAGAGGCCATTCTGGGGGATGAATTTTGACAATTTAGTTACTGGTGTATGGTGACTCATAATCCTACTCTGTATGCAAATGAAATCATTTGAGAAAAAAAAGGCATAAGGGGCATTGAAATGCCATCAGTTTAGACTTTGCTATTTAAACCTGAATGAAATATTTTACCTTTCTGAATATTATTTAGATTCTTCCTGGGCACTTTGGATTGGATGAAGCAGCAGCTGCTGAAAGGGCTGGAAAACAGAGCTTTCCTTTGCAGCTGCTTGCACAGACACCGTTGCTAAGCTCTATTGTTCAGACCATCTTCTTTGACCATCCCAGTGTCCTAGCTCTGTCTCTTTTATAATTGAGCTAGTCACAGTTCTGTCTGACATTCACGCAACAAATCTCTTTTAAGGAGGAAGACTTAAAATCATAAAAATAACTTGCTGACTTTGGGGTTGGCTCTTTTCAGTTGTCTCAGCAACTAGATGGATTACTCGGGATGCTGTGTGTTGATGTAGCCCCAGCTGATGGAGCGTCAATTCAGCAAACTTTAAAGCTACTTGAAGAGAAATTAAAAAGTGTTGGTAAGGAAAAATAAGATTAAATGGCCAAATATGCTACAGTGAATGTCTTAATTTGCAGAATAAGTATTGGATTAAATTGCATACTTTTTCATATAAGCCTAATAAGCACATTGAATGGAAAGCTGGAACAGGCTGTGGGTACAAATTCTCTTGGCTGGCTTATAAAGGGAGCTTTAAAAATATCTCATTGTGGAATGATATTCAGTAATATGCATTGACTGCCATATTCATGTTTTGTGAATAGAGTTCAATAAGAGCTAGAAATCTCTGCCTTTTGAGGTTCCAGCTCCTATGGAAATCCAAACATGTAGGCTTCCGAAACCTATGCATTGCTGACAAGGGCATGGCCACTTCATTGGCCTAACTACCCAGTTTAATTGCAGGATCATCTGTTACACAACTAACAGATCAAGATGGTGTATCACTCAGAGTTATATGAAATAGATTTGAGCTACTGATCTCCCAACAGCGGTAGTCTCCATGTGAGCCTCTTAACTGTGCATTTAAAAGAATTTCATTTTAAGCCACATCTGTTGTTTTAATAATTGTTACTGAAAGGGTGTTGGGCAGAATAAACAACAAACAGATTAAGGGCAAACAGAATAAATGGGAAGGCAATCTCTCATTTAACATAAATATGTGGGGAGGGACCATAATAAAGACAAAATTGTATTAGAGTAAATCAGGACATCGGTCATTTGTGCCCACCAGTTCTTTTTTTGGCTGGTATTATTTCTCCTAGATCTTGGGCAGCAATATAGATCTTGTCAACAATCTCAACATAGCTGTTCCTTTTTATTTGACTGTACCAAAAATTGAATCTGGATTTTCAGCGGGAGTAGTTCCTCACTTATAGTAAACACTATCAAGCCTGACATAAATCGATTTGTGTTCTAGAAAAACACGCTGTATGTGTCTGCACTGCTGAAGTATTAACCACCCTTCATACCAGTTGATACATAGTTAACTGTCAACACTTGAAGGATGTGCTTACAGAATGTACCATTTTAGAATTCAGTTGGTTAAGTGGGAATGTGACAATGAGACAGCAGCATCTAACTTCAACATGGACAGAAACAGAATTGGCTACTCATGATTTAAGAGAATAGTTCATCTTGCATTGTATACGAAATAAGATTTTGTTCATTATCCCTATAGACTTGGGCCTGCAAGGTTTGCGTGAAAAAGGTCAAGGTCTTCTTGATCAGATCTCTAACCAAGCTTCGTGGGCTTATGGAAAAGATGTAACAAGTGAAAACAAAGAGAATGTTGATCATATCCAGGGAGTAATGGAAGACATGCAGCTCAGGAAGCAAAGGTATTCATGGTGATGTTGGACTCCTAAGAATTTCTCTTTCCAAATGACTTCACTTTAAAACCACTGTTAACTACTTTTTAAATGCCACCTTATTTTTCAAACAAGTGAAAATATGAAAAATAATCAAAATGCAAACCTAAGTGTGCATAGGTTTGTACCCTGTGTATTTTTTTTTGCTCTGAAATTATGAATTCCAAAATTATAACTAAGATTTTTGTTTAAACTTAATATTAAACAAAATCAGTTAATTATAAAAACTGCTTCTATAATTAGCTTGTTGCCAAAGTTTTCCTATACAGTTTCATAAATTCAGATATGTTTGTTACTTTCAGCATTGTGCAGCACTTACTTTAACTTCTCTTAATAATGTTAATGCAAGTTATAATTTATAGGTTCTGTAGTTTCTTTAAATATTGCAGAAAAACTGCTTTTAAGATTAATTGGTAACTAATGGCTTTGGTATCATTTGGAAATGTTTAATGTTCCATTACATATTGTTCCATTTTCTAAATGTTAATGAGGAATTATGTATGAGTTTACATTTGCTGCAGAAATTATTTTAATTTTCCTGATAATTTAGCAGCTGCTTCAATATTTATTTAAAGAAAATACTAAATCTTCCTGATATACAACATTTTTAAGGAATGTTAACAAAGTTTATTGAATAGGGTGTTACATTTAAAAATAAAAACACAGTTTTGAACTCAGATACAGCTTTAAAAACTATAAACATGATAACAAAAAAGAACACAGACCACAGAATAATAGAGTTGGAAGGGACCTCAGAGGTCTTCTAGTCCAACCCCCTGCTTGAGCAGGAGAGCCTATACCATTTCAGATAAATGGTTGTCCAGTCTCTTTTTGAAAGCCTCTAGTGATGAAGTAGCCACAACTTTTGAAGGCAAGCTATTCCATTGGTTGATTGCTCTCACCGTTAAGAAATTTCTCCTCGGTTGGGTTTGATGTTAGGTTATCATTTTTGTACAATTTTTTAAATCTCCCATTATATGGGTTGCTACTTCCTTGGCAATTAAGACGTAATTTGCTGCTATTCATTGGGAGTCAACTGCTTTTAGCTACGCTTTAAGAAAGGCCTATAAAGGTGGCTTTTCCATGCCCTCTTTTCTGCTCAAGGTTTGGAATATACTTACTATGAAGGAACGTCATTCCTTCATAGGATGTTCCTTTTCCTAATGCACTGGGCTCATCTTCCAGTAGGCTACAAATCCCCAAAGGTTTTCATCCCAGTTCTTACCTGTCCTAGACTGCTTGGCGGTGACATGAAGTAACAAGTTTGAGGAAAACTGCTTGGAGGTAAACAAGCAAGCAGAAGAGGTCATGGGCAACCATTAGGTAAGATGAGAGAAAGGCAGACAGACAGATAAACATGAAACAGCCGTGCACAAGCATGTATGCGGTTGGCCATGAGCAGCTAGTTAAACATCCGTGCTATAAGTGGCTGCTTTCTTTATTCATAGGGAAGTACTTGTTGTATATTTGGGTAGAATACCTCTCAGAAGATATGCACAGTTCTACCTTTTTCTTATTACTTCTCTAATTAATCTTGCTGGAATGGTTTATTAACATCTTAACTTAGTTTACTGTTTAAAGTGCTATGTTATGATTCTCCTTTTTAAACTAATTTAGTTTTGAGAAAAATTGGTTGAGAGCCTGGAACAAAATCTTCCAATCCCACTGTTACTTGTATGGACCCCAGCTTGTTCACACAATGTTAAGGCATAATTTAACTATGTAATTGTAGCAATAATTTAATATTGTATGGCCGTAAGCCATAATGCTGTTCAGTAAAGCCAGCAGTATGAGCCAACAATATGAGCTAGCAGTGTGCAGCAGCTGCCAAAAAAGCCAACACAGTTCTAGGCTGCATAAACAGAGGGCTAGAATCAAGATCACGTGAAGTGTTAATACCACTTTATAATGCCTTGGTAAGGCCACACTTGGAATACTGCATCCAGTTTTGGTCGCCACAATGTAAAAAAGATGTTGAGACTCTAGAAAGTGCAGAGAAGAGCAACAAAGATGATTAGGGAACTGGAGGCTAAAACATATGAAGAACGATTGCAGGAACTGGGTATGTCTAGTTTAATAAAAAGAAGGACTAGGTGAAACATGATAGCAGTGTTCCAGTATCTCAGGGGCTGCCACAAAGAAGAGGGGGTCAAGTTATTCTCCAAAGCACTTGAGGGTAGGACAAGAAGCAATGGGTGGAAACTAATCGAGAGAAGCAACTTAGAACTAAGGATAAATTTCCTGACAATTAGAACAATCAGTGGAACAACTTGCCTCCAGAAGTTGTAAATGCTCTAATACTGGAAGTTTTTAAGAAGATGTTGGATAACCATTTGTCTAAAGTAGTGTAGGGTTTCCTGCCTAAGCAGGGGGTTGGACTAGAAGACCTCCAAGGTCCCTTCCAACTCTGTTATTCTATTCTAAAGCCACTGTCAGCCATTGGTATAAAATATAAGAATAAAACTTCCATGGATGCATTATAAGCAGCTTCAAAGGTGTATACGTAGCTGAACTTTCCACTGGGCTTATCAATGTTGGTATTTAAAATTAATTAAAGTTGTAAGATTTATCAGATTTTGGATATTCTTAAAGTGTTATTCTTACTCTTGTAAAATATTAAATTTAGACATTTCCTCAAATTTCATTGCTACATTTAAAAATGAGAATTGCTTGTGTATAATTTTTTTTATAAGCAGAGTTGACCTTTCTGATACAGTTTTATGTTCTGTCTTTCACAGATGCGAGGACATGGTAGATGTGCGACGATTAAAGATGCTTCAGATGGTTCAGCTATTTAAGTGTGAAGAGGATGCTGCTCAGGTGAGACTGATGGTTTAGGCAACTGTTGCTTAAAAGAAAGGTGTCAGACAATTTAAGTGAACTTTGGGAACTGATAAAACGTTCAGTAGTTTTGGGTAGCTGTATTTTTTATACAAATTTGAGAAATATATTCTATGTTTCCCCTTTTATTTTACAATGTCATTCTGCTCATTTCTGTAGGCAATAGAATGGTTAAATGAATTATTAGATGCGCTGCTGAAGACTCATACCCGTTTGGGAGATGATGCCCAAGAAACCAAAATTCTGTTGGAAAAACATAGGAAATTTGTTGATGTAGCTCAGGTATGTTTGCATTTTTTATAGCAAGTTAGTTTGCTATTAAGGTTTGCTATCTGTATTTAAAATGGTCATTTTTGTTATTTGCTTAGTAGGATACTAATTAAAATTATTGCTGTCAATCATGGTTAGATGTGGTAAGATTATTAGCCAACAGAGATCGTAATTAAGGTTAATTTATTATTTCTTTTATTATTTATTAAATTTATTGCCTCCTCCCCCATCTTACCACCGGGTAGCTGGGTTGCTTATAATGTTAAAAAGGATAAAACTATACAAAACCCATATATAATACAAATAAAATACTATAAAAATACAATTCTCAACCCTAACTAAAAGATGTGGAGGGAGGGAATAAGATGAGTGGGGGGGGGTCTGTTATTAATCTACCAACCATTTATTAATTTATACATGCCAAAATGCTCTTCGACTATTATGAAATTCTTGAATTCATCCATTCATTCATCTTCCATGAATATGAAATGGATACAAACTACTTGGGGCTATAGTTTTATTTTTCAAGTCATTTCTCTAACTAGTTAGCAAGGATTTAACATTTTTAGTATTTAGATTAATAGGCGAGCATCATTTGGCAGGGATTACTAGGCAGAAGAAAGAAGGACTGTTAATGCTGTGGTCATGAGGCTTGATGTTCAGGTGAAATGAGGACGGGGTGGCAAATGAGTAGAGGATGATTCAATAACAGACCAGATCCTTCTAGAATTTCCATAACTGCCAAATTAAATAAAATGTGACTCTATACACTTACAGTCTCTTAACTGAGAGCAATCCAGCTAGGAAAGTCCAGTTTCCTTTTGTTGCTGTATCCTTCTTCCCTATTTGGATATTCCTGCAAATGAAAATGGCATAGAAAGTCAATCTTATTTTTAATAGGCCGAAGAATAGGTATAGTGTCTTATGATTCATGTGTTTCTGTGTTGCACTTAAATCTGTCCCAACACTGAAAATGATCAGCTTAATGTCTGTTTTTCTTTTTCTAGAGTACCTATGATTACGGGCGACAGTTACTACAGGCTACTGTGGTTTTGTGTCAGTCTCTGAGATGCACTTCTAGATCATCAGGAGAAACACTTCCAAAGCTGAACCGCGTATGGAAACAATTCACAATCACTTCAGAAGAAAGAGTAACAAGGCTAGAGATGGCTGTTGCTTTCCACTCAAATGCGGAAAAAGTGAGTTTCTGCGGTTGATTCCAATAACTTTGATGTAGCATTTTAAAGTAAGCTTTTTTATGTGTTCATTTCTATTTAGTGAAGTTTGATCATGTTTACACGGAATGTTAAAATTCATGGTGTGATTAGCATCACACATTTTTTTTCATTGTGGTCTCAGAGAGAGCCATGGATTTCAAAAGAACTTGCATTTAACATCAGTATGATTAAAATCAACATTTAGCAATAGCAATAGCATTTAGACATATATATATCGCTTCATAGTGCTTTTACAGCCCTCTTTAAGCGGTTTACAAAGTCAGTATATTGCCCCCAACAATCTAGGTCCTCATTTTACCCACCTCGAAATGATGGAAGGCTGAGCCAACCTTGAGCCGATCAGGATAGCCGATTCTTTTAAGATGAATCCACATACTTAAATGGAATTTTCATCCTTAATATTGATAGTCCTCTCTTTAACAGTGGTAGTTGGGACCAGCAACATTGTTGCTAAGTGACAGTCATAAAGCACAACATCATGGGACTGTGCTGACTTAGGATGGCAGTTGCAGCACTCAAGTTGTTACCGTTAGGTGGACCCCTGCACTCACAGTGGACTGTAGTCAAGTGACCGACGTTCGTGACCTGGCTGTTTCCCCATTGACTTTGCTTGTTGGAAGCAGGCAGTGAATGGCGCCTGATCAAAGGACACTGCGACATAATGTGAACCAATTGCCAATTGTGGTCACAAGGGAACTGCAACTATAAGGACCTATTATAAGTCCCTCTCCTTCAGTGCCATTTTAACTTTGAATACTCATTGGATGAGTGGTTGTTAACAAGGACCGCTTTTTAATCTGTGCAAGCTATGGTTAGCATATTGAGATAGTAGATCATAATACTAAATTATTGATAGTCTCTTGATTGATTAAGTGCTGTAAGGTGGGTGTGGACTCTTAGCTACCACAATCACAGACTTTCTACAGGATGATCTATCCTCAACATAATCTTTTAGATTTCAACAGTGCATTCACTGCTGTTGTAATTGAAGTCTATCCACCTTACTCCTTTTTCCTTTCATTTTTTTTCCTAGCATTACACACTAGACTGTATTGTCCAATTATTGCTCTCACAATAGAAAATGAAAGTTTTCTCCCATTTTTTCTTTACAAAAAGGAAATGGGTTTCACATATGAAATAGGTTTTGCATTCTTTGTTGAAGCCAATGCAATTCCACTGTGTACAGCATGCACAGACTTCATTAGCAATTCCATACAGTTCCCTTAAAATAGCTGTATTTTGACTTTATGTATTTTTTTTTTTTTAATCTGTGACTCCATCAGCAGGCAAAACTATGAGGAATACCTCATAGGCACACTTTGGGAGTGTGCTAGAACTTTTCCAGGACTTCAACTGATTCAGTAGTCCATCTGTTGTGTCTAAGAATACAGAAAACATTACAAGAATGCATAAGAGTATTGTTTCCTTTTATTGTAACTTACAGTTTGGCCGTGTCCATTTTTCTTCTTCTTTCTAATGTTATTTTATTACAGGTTTTGCAAGAATGCCCAGATGAGTCTGAATCTATATATGATCAGGAACAATTTGATGAGATTGAAGCTGTTGGAAAATCCCTTCTGGATAGATTAACAGTTCCAGTGGTTTATCCTGATGGGTATGTAGTAGGCCTTGCGTTGCTCACTATGCAATGCAAAATATTTCATTATGCGTAGTAATAAGTTTTAAAACAGAACAGACCAAATTAAAATTGAGGCGCAGCAGATCCAGTTCCACATTGGTTTGCACTGGCCAGAACAGGTGATTGCGAGAGGGAGTGGGTGGTGAAGGGATGGATGAAGTCCTTTAGAAGATCTGTGGTGTTCCATATTCAGGAACTCCAGAGGCATCTGTAAGGGGAGTAAATGGGAAGTTAAACGATGAAAGCCATTGTATGCCACCACAATGCAAATGCTCCCCCTCCTTTTTATACGCCTTGTGATATTGCATGCCTGTGTGACAAGAGTGCAATGCTGCTTTCATTATTTTGACAAAAGCTTCCTGCCTTATAGATGCTTCAGAATAGTTCCTGGTACACTCCTCGGGGAGTGTACATACCCAGAATAGAAAGCACTTGACTTTCTGTGCTTTCTATGGATGGAATAAGGCCACCTAAATTTTGTCTAATCCTAACAGCTAAGTTAATTCTTGGTTTAGGATTGCACTTTTAAGTCAGACGTCAAATATTGAGATGCTGGAGAATATTAAACTAAGAAATGCAATTTAATAATTTATTAAAATGTAATGGTGTTACTATATATTATTTATACGTTATGTCATTAAAACATGCAAGATAAGTTCATCCATACAAAGCATCTTATTTATTTGAAATGAAAGTAAATACTAATAAAATAGCTTCAAAGAAATTGTATTAGTTTGAATTACAACAAATGTAACAAGAAGCAGTTTGTACGTTTTAATACAGTTGTGAAGTCTGGTATCAAATTATTTCACACATAAATATCCCTCAAGTTAGGAAACTGTTCTGAAATTTCAAGTATTCTATTATTCTATATTATCCTGAAACTACTGGAAAATTATTTCTGGTAGATTAACAGTTTCTCTGATAGGATAGGATATTATAATAACATATATTATCCTGAAAGCTGCAGAGTGAGAAAATAAATCTGTGAACATAGCAAAAACTCTCTATTACTTTCTTACATGTAAGGGATTGGGTTTGGGGTTTTTTTTCCTTGTTTTTTTTAGCACTGAGCAGTTCTTCGGGAGCCCGAGTGACATGGCTTCTTCAGCCGAACACATCAGAGAGAAGATAAAGTTGGTTTGTCTGAGAAAACAACAACTGACACAACCAGACGCCTGTACCACAGAGACCTAATAGCCTCTCCCTGCCAATTCATAAGATGCCTATTTGTAACTCCGCATGACATCTGCATTCTATGCCTGCCATAATACATGAAAATGCATTTCACGGCTATTATTAAACATAAGAAGTCTTCACCCTTCTTGAAGCAAATTTTATTCTACATCTTAACCATGTATTTCTACGAAGCCATAATTTAACATGCTATGAACCCCAGACTTCAACTATAATGAAAAGGAACAGAAGACGTTGCACTAAATACTTGCTTTGAAGCTTTATCCCAACCTATCAGGTGCTGCTTTTTCTAAGCAACTGATGCAAGTTTTAAAATGGTGCTAATAAGTGCAAGTTCCACAAAAAATAATTTTGTTTATTCTCCAGATGATGTAGTATTTTAGGCTGTAGGTGAACTATCTGTTGTATAGACCTATAATTTTGATTTTGTATTTTTTTTTAAATGGTCCTTTTTATTGTGCGGATATGTGCCATCAAATCCTTGAAATTCATTATAGTTGGATTTTTTCCAATTTGTACGGATAATGTATTAAGAAATGTTTTGTGCTTAATAAAGTTCACCTTTTAAAAATCCAGTAACTTTTATGGAAACTTGTATTTCCTACTTTATTGCAGGAAATTGTAAAAGAGAGTACAAGTCCATTTTGGATCTTTAGTGAAAGTTTCTTAGTAATTGAAAGAAGAGGGAATAAGCATCATCATGTAAGAAGGAAGAAAAAAAATGCTATGAAAGCAGGTGTTGGGAGTTAACGGCAAATTAAGTTCATTTTTCCTGTTGACTTTTGTTTGTAGATGGGAAAGGAAAAGGACTTAACATTTTACAAGAGTAAGAATCAAAGTCTGGCAAGAGGGATTTGTAGATGCAAATTGAAGACATAAGAGAAATTGATAGGTTTTTCTTTTAACGTACCTTTTTTTTCTCTTTTTTTCTACAAGTATTGATATTGGACATATATGTTCCACTAGTTACATCTTTATGACTGAGTACATTCAAATAACAGCTGATGATGCAATTTCCAGAGCTGATAAATGCTACGTATTGTAATAAAATGATCAAATATAGGGCATAAATTATGTATTCATTCCTCCAATCTGCAAAAGCCAAATAAAAACCTTTATATATTTATGAACTATGAGCATAAGTTTATTTTTTAAAATACATTATGAAACGGCAGCGTATCTTTGGAAGGCCTATTTTGGATATGTAATAAAACTCCTTGCTGTGTAGGTAAGCAAGTTAAATGGCTTCTTGAAAAGTAAAATACATGGCTTGATGGACGAAGCACTTTAAGTGAGAAGCCATCCTGGCTTCCTTTTGTGGAGAATAGAGGAGACCATTTTTAATCTTTTATACCTAGTCCTTGACTTACCACCACTATTGGAATCAGCACTTTGGTCACTAAGCAATATGGTCATTAAGTGATTAATACCTGATTTTATGACTTTTTTTTTTTTTTTTTTTTTTTGCTGTGATCATTAAGCAAACCACGTGGTTACTCAGTGAATCTAGCTTCCCCCTTGATTTTGTTGTCAGAAGCCCCTGAGAAAGTCACACGATCCCAGGATGCTGCAACCAATTGTCAAACATCCTAATTTTGATCATATGGCCATGGGGATGTTGTGAAGTCAGATCACCTTTCACTACCGTTGTAACTTGTACCTGCTCTTAAAATCCCCACTAGACACAATTCATCACCTTTTTTTGTTTGTTTTACTTGGGGCAAGAGTAAGCACGGAAAAGAAACATTTGAATCATCTTTTTTTTTTGCAGTTATCGTGGGCTACACACTGATTCAGAGAGCCATATTTCATTTGTATTCCTAAGAAAATTCATATAAGCATTTTTCCGCTTCTGAAAGAAAATAAAGGAAGTGATGAGCTAGGTCAGGGGTCGCCAACCTTTCCCACCTCAGGGACTACTAAATTCATAATTTAAAATCCTGCGGACCACCAATATGATTTTTAAAAAAAGATAAATAGTATTTAGTGCAATATTAAAAATGCAAGTAATTTTTCTGTGGACCACCAAAATTTTCTCACGGACTACCAGTGGTCCGGGGACCACTGGTTGGTGACCACTGAGCTAGATCACAACACCACAACTCTTGTTTGGTGTCATTTCTCAGACACATCTCCTCCCCTTAGCCTGTTTCTTTTCCCTGGAAGTGGGCTCCAGCCAGCAATACTGAGAAGGTTTCTAGCATCTGCAGCAACCATCTTGCCTTTTCCTCGTCAGGCCTTCTGGATGCCTGCTGATTTAAATCACTTCATGGCAAGAAAAGAAAAACACTGCAAGAATACAGAAAAGGAAGCCCCCAGAGGCCAAGATTCTCAGTATGGGTATGGTCACTTTTAGGACCAGGATTGGTCCTTGTTGCTAAGTAAGGTGGTTAAGTAAGTCATACCCAATTTTATTACAGGTAAGTCCTCAACCTAGGACCACAATTGAGCCCAAAATTTATGTTGTCAAGTGAGAATTGGTTAAGTGCGTTTTGCCCCACTTTGACATTTCTTGCCAGCGTTGTGAAGTGAATCACTGCAGTTGATAAGTTAGTAACCTGGTTGTTAAGTGAATCTGGCTTCTCCCATTGAATTTGCTTGTCAGAAGGTTGCAAAAAGTGATCACATGACCCCGGGACACCGCAGCGGTCATAAGTATGAACCAGTTGCCAAGCATCTGAATTTTGGTCACGTGATCATGGGGATGCTGCAAAGATGGTAAGTCTGAAAAACAGTCACTTTTTTCAATGCCATTGTAAATTTAAATGGTCACTAAATGAACTGTTGTAAGATGAGGACTACCTGTACCTTTTTTTTTGACATGGTTGCTAAGTAAATTACTGCAACTAACAAATGAATCACACAGCCATTAAGTGAATATGGCTTCCCCCATTGAATTTGCTTATCAAGCTGTCTGGGAAGGTCACAAATGGCAATCACATGAACACGGAACATTGCAACTGTCCTAAGTATATGCCAGTTGCCAAGTGTTCAAATTTTGATTATGTGACCATGGGGATGCGGCAATGGTATGTGCGAGGACTGTTTCTAAGTCACTTTTTTCAGTGCCATTGTAACTTTGAATAGTGGCTAAAGGAATGTAAGTCAAGGATTACCTGTATTTCCAAAATACACAATATTCCTAATCAGAAACTCCTACAAGTAAGTTCTAGCCAAATCTCTCCCAAAGGAGAGCCCTCCCCAAAAAATGTCCCCCCAAAATGCCCATTATACCAAATTACATCTGGAAGGACATCCTTATTCAAATACTACTGTTCAATATTTATGTCCCAATGACTGGACTGAGCATGCAAGCCATAGCATTTGCATGATGTCATATGCCCCAATTTTCCACCCCCACCCCTCCAATTCCTAATGGTTGCAGGCATGTGTTTTTCCTTTTCTAGTTCTTAGGTTTTGTGGGACATCCTGGGGTAGGCAATGTAGGTGGACACGTTTCTACTAAATTTGCCCTGCAGAGATTAAATGACCTGAAGAAAATGAGAGCATGAGATGGAAATAATTTATATTTTAGTCTTGACCACTGCACTGCAATTTTATCAAAAAGGCTGCATTTAGGTTTTATTTCTTGGCCATCAGTTCCCTATTAAGTAAATTGGCCTGTTTTTATCATTACTGTGCTCATGACTTATGTATCACAACTTCACATATATATATATTTTTAGTTTACAATTTGAAATCTCAATTCCAGGGGATTGGAAACATTGGTTGCCAGTTCTTCCCTAAAGGGAGACGATGAGGCTCCAAAAGTATAATTATTCATTAGATGGCAGCAAGCTAGCAAAAGAGAGAAAGGGAGAGAGAGCCCTCCAGTGGTGGTCCTGATTTTTTGCAGTTTAGATCTGGTAACCTAGTAAATTTCCCTCATTAAATATGTTATTGGAAATTATATACAGATTTAAGACACCCTGTTAATCTTAATCAAAAATACATATTCTTTTACTGTTTATATAAAAAGTTTGGTAGGGAAAACATTGTAAAATCTATGAACTGCAGAACTGGTTTCTAAATACCTGTATGGCAAATATGCACCAATACTATGCAAATAAGAATATGACAGATGAAACTCAGCATCAGTTTGAAAGAATAAAAGGACTTCATAAGATCTCAAGAAGAATGTGGCGGTGTATTACTTACATACTACTAAAATAATCTTTGTTGTGACATTTACCTGAGTCAAATGGTGCATCATAGGGGAACAATTTTTGAACCAAGGCACTTCAAATAGGCTAATTCAGTGATGGCTAACCTTTTCCGGACTGAGTGCCCAAAGTATGTGCACATGCGAATGCACGCATGGGCACCTGAACCCCTCAAATGCAATGCATGCACAGCCCCCGCACATGTGCCTCGCCCCTGTATGCACATGCCCCTGCACATGCCCCACCCACACATGTGTACATGCCCCCCGCACGCACCTCCCACACATGCACACACAGCAGAGATCCAACAACCAGCTGGCCAGCGGGAGGCGCAAGTGCATGCACGGTGGAGCTGAACTGGGACGATGGCTCGCATGCCCACAGAACCTATGCATGCCATTGGTTCGCCATCACTGGGCTAACTTATAGAATGCATCCAAATTTGGAATCCATGTCTGTGAGGGAATTAAATTTGGGGAAGTTGTAGCTGCTTCATGGCTGTTACTGAGGTCATGTGATTTTTATTTTCAATGTTCCATGACTCTCAGCCAGTCTCATAATCCTTCACTCCACCACCCAGCATCAAGAAACTGACTTATCATATGGCTTTTAAAGAAGCAACAACTTTACAGTGTATAATATTTTTATTGTTTTATGTGCCCCTTCTCACACAAACATTCGCATGCCACTGAATGCCATCTTTGTCCAGGAATTTAATATACTGTTGAACTGAGGGATATGGCTCCGGTCAGGTCAGCTTCAGGATTGACACATACAGATACACACATAATGCTCCATCATCTTATAAGTAGTATATAAATAAATATACATGTATATAAAAAAGTATATAAATAAATATACTACTTAGTTTTAGAAGTATATAAATAATACTCTGCAACACTCTTCTTGAGATCTTACTAAGTCCTTTTATTCTTTCAAACTGATGTTGAGTTTATCATGTTCCTTCACAACGGATAGATTGGACAGAAAGTCATCAAATCGACTGCTGCGGCTGTAAACGGAGTAGAAACTAGATCTCTCTGGTATCAGTCAAATAGATTAGTCCCTATACTTTAATCCTTGCCCATCCTGTTTCATTTTTCAACTGCTTCCTGCTCTTAAACTGAGTTTAGACCAGTCCTGCCCTAACCCCCTGGAGGCAGGGGTGGGCTGCTGGGGGTTCAAGGAGAACCTCTAGTTAAGATTCTGTGCAGTTCGGAGAACCCCCAAATCTCACTCCTGGCTGGCCCTGCCCACCCTGCCCCTCCTCTCCCAGGAGTCCCCACGAGGCCCGTTTTGGATGCAGGTAAGTACAGGATGCATGCGGAGGCTCGGGGAGAACGAAAAACAAGCCTACCAGAAATTCGGGAAATCCAGCCTCCAGAGGGCCTTCAGAGCCTGGGGAGGCTGTTTTCGCCCTCCCAGAGACTCGAGGAAAGCCTCCGGAGCCTGGGGAGAGCAAAAACACCACCCCACCGTGGTGTAGGAGGCTGACTAGGCGACACCCACCATGGCCACGCCCACCCAGCAATTGGGCAGAGAACCCCTTGCTAAAATTTTTGAAGCCCACCCCTGCCTGGAGGTCATGTGATCCTATTTTTAAATTGTCTCTGGCAGTTTTCTGCAACACAGTGGAGAAGCCGACAAGTTTCTAAACTGTTCTGAGGTGAGAACAGCAACATAGAAACATTGTGATAAACAAAATATTGTCAGCATAATTATGCCATGTAGAAAGAGAAGGGTAAGTCATGATCAAGAGATGACATCAAATGGGATGTGACAAGGAGGAGGAGGATAAATGAAGAAATGGAGGATGAAAGGATGCATGTCTCCAGAATCACAAGGGAAGTTACAGAATGAGAAGACAAGAAAATATGGAGGAGGTAAGGGAAGATCAGCTCGAAAATACATGGCATGGGGAGGACGTGGAATATTATCTAATCCATTGGTCACCTTGAGAATTAGGG